AAAACTGTAAAATGAGTTTAAATTAATTGATTATGGCAAAGCACCGAAAAATTATTTGGATGAGAGATGTCTTTGTGGAAAATATTAATTCAAATAAATTTAAAAAGATATTTATAATAGTAAATATAGGATGGAATATCAAACAAAAATACATTAGGAAATAAATATGATATAAGGTTAAGTAAATTGCTTATTAAGCGTTACAGAAACCTACAGTATTAACATCAGCAAGTCAACAAGGAACAACGTCTATTTTGAAGAAAGAACAACGTCTATGTCTGTTTTCGCATAAGCTTGTAAGTCCCGAGTAAATAAATTCCGCATTTCTGGGCTTATCTGAATAAAAAATCAGTAATTCTTCATTCAGACTTCTAAATAGTTATCTTTAGGACTATGACTACTTCTAAGCATTTATTTTTCGTATATGAAAAAATCCGATGTGTACACCACATGACTTCCTTGTACGGAATATTAAATTATATGCATTTTTTCTTGCATTTCATTTAAACTTATTGGATTGAATTAAATCTACTTCGCCGACAGCGCATAAACCAGAATAGAATAAATGCATTCTTTAAAATTCACTCTAGTATTTGTTTACCATAACGACACTCTGGCGCTAGATTCACTTAACAGTATTATATTTCGTTCATATTATAACTCAGAATGCACAAAATTTTATATCCTTTAAAGAATAGAATTATCTAATCCTTGCCACATGTTCTATTCAAATAATATAATAAAGCTAGAATGATGTATAAATAAATTAAGCAAACAAAACAAAAAAGAAACAGTTTTTCACAGACGATTGAGTATTTCTCATTCAATTAATTCAGTTCTCACTTCCCGAGAAGGCAAAAATACATAAAAACTCAAAATATCTATATTAAAAATTACGAAGTAAATCTTAAACACTTATTTCCTCCAAAAAAATTCCAGAAAGGATTAAGCATGATTTAATTGGCAATAATAAATGAAGGCGTTATCTTTGTTGTTGCGAAGCTAAGTTTCTCTACATTGGCAACAAATCCACTAGTCCGCTGTTTCAAATGTAAACAAGCAATGGCCACGATCAAAAAAATTATTAGGCTTAGTGGCACTTAAACAACTTTAAAATTGTTGATAATTCTAAAAATATTGCATACAGATTTACTAAAGGCATAAAAATCTTAACCGGAAGAAAAAAACAACATAATTCAATCATTTTTAAAGCAAAAATGTACAATTCACAAACATATAAGAGTAAAGAAATTGAGATCACTGAGGGTAACGGAGTGGTAACGGATCACGGGTAACAGAGTGGATATATAGTATATAAATATATTTATATACGTTTGGTGCGGCCGATTGCAACCAAAATACGAGGTGAACATCTACATGTTATAGCAGTCCTATATATACAATATTTCAACGTTCTGAGGCTACTCGTTTTTGAGTTATGCGAGATACGTACCTACGTGCGTACGTTCGTACAGACGCCATGAAAAATTCTGTTCAGAATTCATTTTAAAGCAGTTTTATAATTTTTTTGGAGGAAACGAGTCTTTTATTCTGTCTTTACGTACAGATATCACGCAAAAACATCGTTAAATCGCATTCGATAGCGGTCAAAATGAATATTTTCGTTGAAATATGCTGCCTGAAGCTTTTTCGCGATTACAATACTTCCTTTTTACTTCGTACAAGGAAGTAAAAAAGAACACAGACACAATTCGCAGCAATTGACAATGCGTGCTTGAAGTGGTAATTCGTGGGTAATCGACGAAGGTTGCCGTGCTGAAAAAATGTGTATTGCGCGTGCGTGAATCTTAAGCCCTGCAGATCGGAGACGCTACTGAAATAATTTGTTGTGCAGCTGTTGATTCTGTCTGCATATGCAGGGGCGTGAGTCCTCAGCTGTAGAAGTTTTACGGTAAGCATGTGTAATGTTGATGGCAGACAGTCTTTCGATGCTTAGAAGATACTTTAGGTTCGTACTTTGCACTGGAGTTAAACGGACTGCCGTTACGTAAGTTGTACTTCTTCAGCAACTGTTGCGTAGAGTATTTTCTATAATTTTGGATACAAGCCCCACTTGGCACTTTAAAATTCCTGAAGTTTGTACTCAGTTCTTAGCGTCCGATTCTTAAAGTCCATTATGTGTTGTATCCAAGTAAAACCCTGAATCCCATGTCAATCGAAGATATTTGAATGTGCTGGGTTTGAATCGTTCAAATCCTAACTAAAACCGAACATTTTAATTTAAAACTTTGGAAAGATTAATTTCACTGACGCTTAGTGCCAAGCGTTTGCTCAGTAGAAGTCTTTAAAAAGAATGGGATTATTAGAATTTTTTAATGATATCAAAATCCATAAAACGTATAAAATCCTAACGAGCCTGCGTCCTGTACTGTTAAGCCATACCAGTAGTCCAGTGGTAAAGACCGCTGAATGCCAGTTGTTCGACTTGGGTTCCAAGCAAGGCCAAAGGGCTAGTTGCGCGTTTGGTTTTTCTGGTTTTCCCTAAATGTAGTGTGAATACGAACCAGTTTCCTTTAGAAAGTCCTTCATGAACGCATTCCTCCTATTAAAAGCCGATAGTCTTCGTTAGCTTTTTCAAGTAAATGGTATGCCGCGCTTTCTCGAAAATTCTTGAAACTATCCCTTGAATAGTATCGTTAATTCTAGATACAAATTATCTACTACGAATATGTCAATTCTTGGCATGGCATATAAATTCTTCGAAGCAAACATTACACCACTTTTCTACCACCTGAACTATTCAGCTATACTTGCTGGATTCTGAATTGTTAAGTGAAATGTGAATCTTTGCAAAAATATGTTTATTAAACTATCTTGAGAAAGTGAACTTCCAAGATTCAAGATATTAGCTACGACCTTCATTTACTAAACGTCATATCTCTGCTTTTTAGTAAATATAGATGTATTTTTAAAAATGCATGCTTGAATTTTGTTTCTCACTAAACGCAGATTTCGAATTTTTCTTCGTATATAAAATTTTAAGTATAATTTTTTTCCCCTCCTCTGATTCTTATTTAGAGGATTCGAAAGTTTGATATCCGAAAAGTTTCAAAATCTCTCAGAATTCGATTTCAGATTGGAGGAAATTCAGGGTTTATTTAGATTTAATGATAGAATATGAACAGAATACAATATGAATATGATATTAATGATAGACTATGAGTAGTTAAAAACCTGTTCATATTTATAATGCTCTTTAACAAGATTTGAAGTACAACGTTCAATACATTGAAACGGCAATGTTGACATTGAACGTGCTTGCTCTGCGTCGTGCTGGAACCATATAATTGTTCGAACATATGCTGGCACATTTTATAATATATCAGTCGAGATCTGCGGAAGGAATTTGATGTACTTCTACCCGTTTAGGCGGTCTGGTAAAAGATGCGAGCCAATTCAGTGATTATTGATAATTCCTAGCCACACATTTACGGGGAACCTTTGCTGGCAGCAGCTCAGATGTGTAGTATGCGGATTTACAGTGGCCCACACATAATTATTGTGCATATTAAACATGACATTACATTTGAACGTAGCCACATCTATAAAGAGGATAAATACTGCAAACTGAGGATACAGTATGCTGTGTTGCAAGAACCAACGTGGAAATGTTACACGTTCTGGAAACTCGTTCCATTTAACCCTTTCCGGCACGCTACCTTTTAAAGTCGGAGTTTTGATTTAAAAAAAGGTAGGCAGTCTAATTAAGCCTAGAGGAGTACACAAGTAAAATTTTGTGAAGATGCACTTATCGTTTTAATTTTATAGGTGTGCCCAAAGTGGGCACACTGATTGAATAGAGCTTCGAAAAGAATGCTGAAACCAGCCTTATTGTCAATGAATTGACCGATGAGATGCGGAGAAACAAAACATACAGACTCTCAGTTGTCCTAGATTATCGGTGAGCCTGGTCTGGGCACACCTAGGGTTCGCCTTTTGATTTTAGGCAATATTTTAAGGTAAAAATTTAAAACTAATATAGAATAAGGATATTAGCATACAGCCAAAAAAATAGCATAGAAATTTCTTTTCAAACAATTCCTTTTATACACTAAAAAATCTGGAAGATTTCTTTGAAAAATGAGGGTCTTAAAAAACTAAACATGGCTAAAATATATGGACTGGTTTGTGTTGAGCTGCCATCTACTATAAATAAAGAAGGTTCAGAGTTCATTCAATTTTTCTGTACGTACAGAAGGAAATTTTTAGGTGTGTGCAGACCGGACGCACTGTGCCGCAAAGGGTTAAGGTCTGTACCCGCTGGAGATGATCCATGAGTTGCACGTGCAAATGTTGAAATGTTCTTCGATCGGGCAAAATCTCACTACTTCTGTGGCACTGCCATTTTCAAGCACCTGACGTATATGAACAACCTGTGCATCAGACGCATAGGATCAGAAGTTCTATTAGTCTCGAAACAGCATTTTGCATTGGATCACTCAATTGCGCTGTATCACTTTTCAAATTGTTGCCACCTAACATTATCGCCCTGTATTATACTTAAAGAAACTAAATAATAAAGAACCGGCATGAATGTATGTATACTTCTCGCATTGTGAAAAAATAATGGTACCTAGAGTCATCAAATTTTGTATAACATACTCCTTCACCCGAACATGGGCACCTGGAAGCCCGAATTCGGAATCTGGAATTTGTTTTATTTTTTATTTCATATTTTGTAAAACCTTAATGAATTTTTGATTTTAAAATTCAACAGTTTCAAAGCGAGCAGTGGCAACACTGTAGGGAATAATACATTTTTGACTAAACTTCGTATACCTTCCTAATCTGCTTCTAGTGTGTGTCCATGCAATTATGGCAGCTAAGCCATATACGTAACATAAGTAAAATATAAAGAATATATTTATGAAAATTCATAAAAATGCTTTAGAAAAAATGACTTTAAAACACTTCGGAACTAAAAGAGGTCTGTACTTTAGAAGAGCTTAATTCTTTTCGATTAAAAAAGCTGTTATTACCTCTTCTTCATAGCTGGCAAATCTGGCATAATCTTGTACAACTAGACTTGTAGCAACCAGTCTTTTGTAAACTATTTCAAGTTCCGGATAGTATTCTCCATATGCAAGCCTAAAATATAAATATAATCATATGAACATCAGCATTAAAAGTTGTGTGTGCGTATAGTTTAAAATTCTGGACGTAGGTAAGAGAAGACTGGAGACAACTGATTACTAAGGATACTTGGTCTTTCAGCAAAAAATGCACAAAAGTGAATTAGAAAACTCTTAAAACATGTTATGTTACAATCTTTTGCAACTCTTTCTGGAAAGCGTCAGTTTCGGACTTAAGTGCAGTGGACCAGTGAGAAGTGATTTCTAATTGTGAGAAGCACAACTTAAACATAATGACGATAATCTTTTCTATAATTTGTAAGTTAACAAATCTAGTTGCGTATTATAAGATAAATGTACAATTTAAAATTAAGACTTTATCTAAAATAATTTTAATTTTACATAAATTAGCTTTTCTTCATTTGCTGTCTAAGGATTTCTATTTAAAACACATAGATGGGTTATTTGACGACTACCGTTTAAGGATATTTAATCTTAAGCACCAAGTATTCACACAAAAATATTTCATATAATAAAGGCATAACTATTTATGATATCGTTGCGTTCTACGGGCTCGTGGATTTGGAGTGATTGATGACAACACTTAATAAAGAATCAAAACGCAATTTATTCGTCAGTGTTACACAGGAGAGTTCCAAAGACATTTACAGCTGTCGAAAAACTACGATAAAAATGCTGAAACAATCAGCAACACAGCTTTCAGGCTACACGGTGAAGATAGCTTCACGACAAAGCACTATAGTACAGCTCCCGACACGGTCGATCGCTCTCGAGTTGATCGCTTTGAGCTCAAGACGCTACTACTGAACTCAATATACTACTCTCAAGATACTGTTCACGATAAACTCCTTCGTATAGAGGCAGGACTTTTATAGCTTTTGACCTGTCTTCGAGAACATTCTCGGGAAAACAGGTAAGAATTCTCTCTAGAATATTCTCTCTCAGTCTATGGCATATCGCCAATTTTGCGCCAAATGGGTGACTTCGCGCCAAATCTGGCAATCCTGCCCTGCTGTTTTTATGGCAACTTTAAGCTATCTTAATGCAGCTGGCCATTTCGTAACAATATATTGAAGCAAATTTTACATAAAATGGTTATAAATTTAAAACCGTATAATGTATATAAAAATAACTGATGGAATCCGAATGTGAATAATCACAATAGATGGCAATTTAATGAAATGCTTAAATGTTAACCGGTTCTCTGTTGTCAGATGTTTGAAGAAAGGAAAGATGTTCCTTATGAAACTTAAATACAACGAAAGTTGGCTTTTCTGATAATCACACACCAATAAAATTATATCAGGAATTATATGAAAGAAATGCAATTAAAATACCTATCATCATTTTTCTAAAATTTCATTCATCATTTTTATCAGAGCAACTGCATGCTCCTGATTATTTTGTTTGAAAAATAAAATAATTTTTTTTTGGAAGCTCGCATTTCGTATTTATCGCAGAGCTGCAACATGAGGTTATGAAGCTTTATGGTTAAATCTGAAATAACCGTAAAAAGTAAAAAGAAATAACCGTAAACTTCTCACAACTTCGATGCTGCGGAGTTCATGGATATTCAACTCTACAGTACATAAGCACCCTCAGCTACACCGCTATATTGTGAGAATCCCTTTAGCGGTCAACCAAACGCCGCTGGATTATTTTGGTATTGTTACGAAATGTAAAGGCGCGGTAACATGGCTTCCCCGCAAAGCAGTTTTAGGGTTGTCATAAAATGGCAAAAGATGTCAGGGTTGCCATATTTGGCGAGAAATCGCCCATTTAGCGACAAAATTGGCGATATACCAAGGACGGATGGAGAACCTTCTGGAACGAATTCTTACCGGTTTAGTCCAGAATGTTCCCGAACACAAGCCTAAAGCTATATAACCCTGCTGGTCCGCAGTCAGTTAGTGTGTGTCTCTCATAGAGAGTGTGTGTGCCTCGTCTAGCGAGCTGATAGTGTCTCCAAATCTAGCGCCGAGGTGGTCGTCGAGTACATCGAGAGAGCCTTAGTACATCGCAAATTAGTGCATCGTCGAGTTTCGTCATAGACTGTGCTGAGTCGAGAGCTATGCTCTTCTGTATCGTCGAGTGCATCGTGTGGAGAGTCTCGAGAGTACGTGGAGTTCCGAGAACAACCAAGCAGAGATGGGAGCTGTACTCGGGTGCTTTGCAGTGAAGCTGTCTCCACCGTTAATGCCTGACAGTGTGAAGGCTGTGTCGCTGATTGCTCCAGCGTGTTTATTATAGATCTTCGACGACTGTAAAAGTGTTTTGGAGCTGTCCTGATTAATATTGGCTAAATAAAGTGTGTTTCGATACTTCATCAAGTGTCGTCGTTATTCACTCCAAATCTACGAACCCCGTACGAACGTAAAGGAAGAAAATAACGTAACAACTGATGTCAGAAGAATAAAGAGAAAAACGTAACAGTATTGAAAACTGTAAGGCGAGTATTTGATGAGATACCAATGGAAATCGACATTGTCATCGTTGTGGCCTAAGTTCCTCACTAGAGCAAGAATTCTGATAACGTTTAAGAGCCGACAGCTGTATATATGTTTAAAATCAGAAAAAAAATTTCTTTTATTAACTTTGTGCTAAAACACTAAGGATCCCTTTTGTTGTATTATGAACTATCTGAATTTAAATACAATCTCTTTTCATTAGCTACTATCCTATAATTTTCATTTTATAATTTCTGTAATTGAAATATTAAATTTATTGATAAAATTGTGTATAAGTTACTAATAATTTTCATGAAAATTTGTAAAGCTAAATTTAAATTAAATAAAATGTATACAGGTCTGTCTTCTAGTCAGAAATAAAAACCAATTAAAACCATACTCTTGAACCATACTCTATAGACAACATTCAGAACGTCTGCCCAAACGTTAAGAGAACGTTTTGCTAGTACGTTATAAAAACTTTCATAGAACGTTCTAGGATCGTTATATAAAATGGTTACTAGTACCACATTTTGACGTTCTATTGTCCTTTAATGACCTATATCTTACAGACGTAATTCAGAACGTTTTGCCTGAACGTTAAAAAAAACGTTCTTCTAGAACGTTGAAGGAACGTTCTGTTAGAAGGTTAAAAGAGCTTCCATATAACGTTCAATGGACGTTTTATAAAATTGTTAGTAACACCATTTTTTGACGTTCTACCGCCCGTTATTATTGTAACATATTGACGTGATTCACCACGTTCTGCCAGAACGTTAAAGGAACGTTCTGTTAGAACGTTAGAAGAACATTCATAGAACGTTATAAAAAGTGATAATAGTACCACTTTTGAAGTACTGTTGTCCGTTATTGAACTACAATACATATACGTGGTTCAGAACGTTCAGGTAAAACGTGCCAAAAAGAGTGTACTAGAACGTTAAGGACACGTTGCATGAAAGTGTTACAAACACAAGTATTTGACGTGTTATTGCCCGTCTTAGAACTGTAACTAACATATAGACGGCATTTTGAACGTTCTGCTTGAACGTTCCCGACACGTTTGTGAAGCACTTGCACACTGAACGTTCTCTGGACGTTCTTGTGGTAGTTGTGTGGGTTTCAGGATAAAAGTGGACATTAAAAAGTGTTAGAGACATTAAAAGTCTTAGTTCACTTACTAAACGATTAAGAAACGCCATTCTACCGAATGATTTTCAAAGCGGAATCTATGAAGCACGTGGGCATTCCAATTTTAGTTGGAAAAAATTCATATTCCATCAATGTTGAGGGCATCAAAGCAAAAACTGATTTAATATAATTAAGTTATGAAAGCGCTTATTTTTTAATAATTTTATCGTTCAATACAGTCAATAACGTGAACAAAAATCGTTTTACAATGTTATGCAAATTTAGGATACTAATATGGCATCGCTAAAATCTCGAATGTGCTGTATTATCGAACCTGTGCTATGTCTTAAATATTTTATGTCGGTCGTATGTAAATCTGGTCGTCTTTTGCCTGACTCTTGCTCCACATCAGGCAAGTCAAACTCAGTATCTGATGTCTGCCAAATACGTATGAGCGTAGCGTACTGTAGTGTAAACCTCAAGGAAAAAATAAAGATCAGGCCATTTTCATATTTAAGGATGGATTTAAAAATGAGTAACACAAAAAAGGGGGACCAGTTCTATATTTTCCATTCTAGTGGGCCCGTTTGACGAAATTTAGCTTGCGTTTTTCATATGTCGACAGCACGATGTAGGATAAATATTAGATTTATATATAATACTGTTCTAGCATAGGTACTTGGACTAGAAACCGAACATTTTCTGAAATGACATGACTATTTTTTTCCATAATTCGATTCCACGTCTCAAATTATGCCTAAATATTAAATTTGGTAAAATCTGAAGAGAAACTTAGCACAATTTTTAAAATTTATCTTGGGGCACTTTTTTTTTCAATTTACGTCAAGAATACTTGTCGAAATTCTTAATTTATGGTAACCAGTTTTCTTTTCCCTTTCACTGAGCACGAGGAGAAAAAAAGGTACATCGTGCATTCTCTCACATAATTGTAACAAAGTGTGTAAAATGTGTGGTGCTATTATTGCTTACAACAAATATGCTAAATTTCAAATAAATTTCCTATATAAATCCAATAATATATAACTTCACGTATATTTATAGAAATGTTTAATAAAAAATTCTTATTGTTTGCAAGTAAGCCTAGAAAGGCATCTACTTTAAGATCATGGCAAAAGTTTTGTAGATTATAATTCAAAAGAATTTTTAAAAAATTTATAAAATTTACTAAAAAATACAAATAGCTGCGAATTTTATTTATATTAAATTTAAACTTCGAACTTCAAAAAAAGGAATCCAGTAAGTTTAAAAAAAAGATTTTATTAAATATATACCATATTCAATTAATATTAAGAAGCTAAAATTATAAGAGTTTATTTTTTAAAAACTATTTGTGCGATTTTTACAAAACTTGGCATTTTATAATAATTTGAGTCGTAGAATCGAAATACTGAACACAGTACGTGCGTCATTTCAGGACAAGTCCGATGTTGTGTCAGAATCGGAATTGTATACTGGTAGTATATAAATCTAATATATATTCTATGTCACGCTTTCGAGGCATGAAAAATGCAATTTCGTCAATCGGCCCAACACAACGGGACATATAGATCTGCCCCTCTTTTTGTGCAAAGTGAACATAAAATCTTATCTAATACTGTAGTTTCTTAAAAAATAGAAGAAACATAAGGAAATCTTGGCAATAGATTGATACCTATTATTCTTTCCCAACATCTAGCATCGTTTTCCTGCAGCCTGCTTTCGCACCTCTGGAGACATATGATTAGCATTAGCGATGTTCAGAACGGAGGTTAGATGTATGTCTGTTAATCCAGATCTCGCTGGGAAATTGTACTTTTCATAAACGAGAAAGGTTGTTCACGCTGGTAAATACGAATATGAATTTAATACTTACTTCATATACTTTAAGAGCTTTTCCATATCTTCGAGTTGTTCTCTTGGATGTCCGCCGAGATGCAAACATTTCAATGCCAGAAGTCGCATTCGGAGAATATTGGTATTTCCTAGAACACCTTCTTGCCTCTTTAACGCAATTTCGATATTTCGACGAAAAAATCCTTTATCGATCAGTCGCTCTGTTTGCAGTAAATTGAAGAAATATATATATAGATTAAAAGCTAAGAATAATTAATTCAATAAGTACTGTTAATATCACGCATACTGATAAATTCATTAATTAATAAAACAATGAGATAAAATATATAGTATGTATATTAGCCACAAATGGAAATCTACTATTTAACGGGAAAGCAAAAATTAAAAACAATATGAAGCAAGAACTTGGTTTTCAAATCTAAAGCAGAAGTACATTAATTTAAGAATAAAAGAGAAGTTCATTATTTATTACTCTTTATCAGGCAGCAGCCGAAAGAATTGGCAACAGAGCCACGTTTCTGAATTATACTTAAATGTTTCAAATGAAAAGCTATCGAATAAAAATATTACTTTTTAAATTTAAAACAAAAGTGATTAAATAAATATATATGTATTTGTAAAGAAATATAATGACAAAAGCTTTAAAATAAACGAATTTCAAACTTGATTCAAAAAGGATTTTAAAAGTAAAATCCTGCATTTCCGCTGCAAAGATTAAAATTTAATTTAATAGAGATTATGTAAATAAAATTTATCTCCTAGGAAATGCGAAGTGAAATTTATACAGTGGAAATTAAAAATTGGAATTTATAATTAATGAAACAGGAAGTGGTAATTAAAATGCTTAGATAAACAATTAAAACAAATGAATTATTGCCGATTCCAATAGAAAGATCTCGACTTATCAAGGGGAACTGGAATCTTTCCTCACAACCATCAACAGTTCATAAGGCTTACTTTTCGTCATTTCGCATTTCTGAACAAAATGATTGTTCCAGTTTTAATTTTCTAATAAATTTTATAAAATCTGAATTTAAATCATAAACATGGTTAAATTAATTTAGTTGATTTTCTATAATCCCGTCGGGGAATTATTTCACATTTCTGAACTTTAAGATTTAAATTCTTGATTTTTTTTAATCTTACTCAATGGTTCACATCATTACCCTCAACCCGTTCATCTTTGTCACAAGTGTCCCTACGGAATTAACTTCAGATTTATTATTTCTTAACTACTGTATTGTTCACAATTAAGCATTGCTTATCTCTGGTTGGTTGCATTTTTTCTTTTGTTTCAAAAGAATAAAATGCTTTATATCATAAACTGAAGCATTATTGTTACATAAACCATACATTATATTTATTTAGCTAAACCAATAATTTAATTTTGATGTTAAGATTCTCAGATGGCAACATATATGATTTTTTTTTTTTTTTACTTTCTTGTAAGAGCTAAAAAGGAAGTATTGTAATCACGAAAAGCTTCAGGCATCATATTTCAAAGAAAATATCAATTTTGACCGCTATTGAATGCAATTTAACGATGTTTTTGAGTGACATCTGTATGTAAGGAGAGAATAAAGGACTCTTTTCCCCAAAAAAATTGTAAAACTTATTTAAAATGAATTCTGAAGAGAACTTTTCGTGGCGTCTGTGCGTACGTATATATGTACGTTCTTACGTATTTCGCATATCTCAAAATCCTTCATAATCCAAAGATGTACGCTAAGACAACAGAGGAAAACTGCAACACCACCCTTACTATATTCAACAACGTTTGTCATACAATAAAACTTAAAATATCACACATAAAATCGCACGCAGTCGTAATACACAAGCCAGGACAACAATCACCAGGAACCCCACTCTGCGAATTGGAAACAATAAAACAAAATGTGTGAAGACCATCAAGTACTTAGGATTCACCATAAACCAGAAATTCTGTTGAATACCGCATCTCCAGGACAAGAAGCTAACCACCGCCAAAATTGCAAAAGCATTAAGAGTGATGAAAGGATATTCCTGGGGCCTTAATTTATTATCACATTATGAAAATTCTATTAAACACGATAGTCAGTAAAATAATTACCTACAGAGCTTCTCTCTGGGTCTTTCCCAGAGGTCTTTCCCAATTCAAGAATTCTCTGGGTCTTTCCCAATTCAAGAATGGTCTTTAAATTGGGTTAAGAATCCGAGAAAAATTCGGATTCTTAACCCAATTCAAAGACCATTCTTGTATATTACCCGATTGTATATTACACGATCCTTCTCAACAACCTCCACCAACGCACTATAAATAATAGCCGGAGTGATCACACTACCAACTTAAACAGAAATCAACGCACTCTTCACAATGATCTTACAACTCAAGAAAACTACCACGTACAACGACGTTATTTTCAATCCACAAGATTGAAGAACAGCCACCGAAGTACTATAACAGACATCCCGCTTTTGAGTCTTCACAATCTCCACTGTAACCTAGATAAGCCTTCTCCATCAACCGAATTTACTGCATACGCGGGTGGCTCAAATATCGAAAATAAGGTAGCAAGCGGTGTCACCACAAAAAACAAAAACAGGCCTCCACTCCGAATAGCAAGGTTCATTTCGGCCGCAAAACAGCGTATATCAAACAGAGCTCATAGCCATACTAAACAGCATAATGCAACTTAGAGACTTAAAAACAGATACCACCCAAGCAATCCCCGATAGTCAGTCCTCCATACATGCCATCAAACAACAGCATACAAATTTTCCAATAGCCCGGCAAATGTAAGACATCATAAGCACAAGTAGCAAGAGATTTGTCCTGTCATGGACCAGAGGGCACAACGCTTGTGAAAGGGCCGATTTTCTACCAAAACAGGCATCACTAGAACAAACAAGATCTCAAATTCACATCCCATGGCCTAAATCAGTCTAAGTACAAACTAAAACAAATGGCGAATGAAAAATGGCAACGTTAATGGGAACAAGGACGACGTACATTCGAATTGCTACCTAAGGCTGACGAAAATATCACAAGTATGAACCTAATTCCTCACCAAGTATATCTCGCGTCACAGTTCCTTCCCCGAATATTTTTATAATCGTAATATGGCTACGTCGGATAGATGCATATGCGGGGAAAGCGGAGACCCTGAACATTACACGTTTCAGTGTCCGCTAACGTCAGCCCATCGCATTCGCCATCCCACCGATACTGGAATAGAATTTAGGAGATTCATCATTAAGCACCTTAAGTCTTCCAAAACATCAAAAATATTATTGATTTCCTTCACCGCCAAGAAATGGACCTCAGTCATCCATAGCATGCAACTCAGAATAATTCTCCAAGTTCAGAAAATGCGACAACACTCTCCACCCTCATACTATGCAGTAGTGCCTTTAGAAAATACACATAAATATCTCGATTTTTTTAGACAACCGTGACTTTTCCCATATCTACTCAAACTATGAATTATGAACTAACTTCATACTGTGTAATGTGTGACATATACGCCAGTACTACGCACTTGACCCTATGTACTATGAAATTAATTCATAAACTGTGTGCTGAACTATGAACTGTACTATGAATGAACTTATAAACTGCGCACCGTGTAGTAGACAACCAAACAATCAAAGAACCACGTACTATAATCACTCCCCCCACTAACAAAGCTCCAAACTGAAATACAAAAGAAATATCTGTAAATAACTTATTGCATTTATCCATGCAACTCAAGTACCCACATAAAGTATCCAAGTAGCCACATAAAGTATACCTTATGTCAATATTGTCTGTAATGCAAATTATGCACCATTAATATGTAACTATTATGAATATTGCAACAAATGCCCGAGGATGGCGTTAGTGTGCCCCTTTAGGGTGCACTTCCATAGATGGTTAGTTTTGCCCATGGCGTGTTTTGGTGCCCCACTTGTTCCTGTCTGTCTGTGTAACTGTAATGGATATTATAATTGATGTTCCGTATAACTGCAACATTTGGCTCTCATAATGCCTTCCAGTAATTTAGAGAAGTAGAAAGTACTAGAAATATCTCGGCCACCCAGAAGGTATAGTGGTTAGGAGAGCCGACTGCGATACCAAAGGGCCCGTGCTCAAACCCCGAGGAGGTAGGTTTTTATATGTCCTTCTCTTCGTAGGAGGCAATGGTGGCCGCCTATTAGATGCCCTCCACAATAAAACGGACACCTCTTTCGCTCGTAGGAGTGGCCAATGTCGAAAAGTTCCGCCTTTGGAGGAAAGAAACTAGAAATATCTCGGCCGTCAGGTGAAAACTATATAAGACTGGAGAGAGCTGTTGTTGTGAGTTGTTAGTTCAGAGCCATTTCAGAGTATTGAGATATCCGGGAAAGCTTCCTATTTTAGATGAGCTTTACACTGCGTTGTGTTGAGCGTTCTTAGTAGTTTGAAATGTAACTACTGATTGTACTCTAGGATACGGTAAACACCTGTTCGAGTATTTGTGTGGAAAGTTAGAGAACTCTGAAATATTTCTTTTGATAAAACAAATTTTATCAACCTATCATCGGACCTGTGTTCATTCAATCTGTTACGAACCCATATGCACATAACAGTATAAGGTATTTCTCCCGCCTTCTTAACGAGCCTTCGTGGTGTAGTGGTCTGCACGCTCAGTGCGTAACTGAGAGGTCCACGGTTCGATTCCCGCGAAGGCGTTGCTAATTTTTCATCTTTCCTGCTTCCAAAAAATAACTAATGTCTCTACAACAATTTCATTAGACGCTAAATTAGCCGATTTAGAGTGAAGATTATTTATTCTACTATTTTTCTGTTTCCGTAACCTCTTGCCAGAATTAATATTACATTGATTACGATTCTTTTTTAAACAGTTTCAGCGATTTTACCATTTTCCTTAAGCTACAATGATAGAAGTAGGTTTTAAGAGTAAAGCTTACCAATTTTTAAAAATAAGTATTTTTACTAAGGCAATTCTTTTCTCAGAATCACGTCAGATTTCATTCTTTGTTAACAAAGACCAATCAGCAATATTCTTTAGTAACGAAATTTATCTATTTGGATAATCAAAGCTAACTTTTTCAGGACACCTTGATAATTAACATGTGTAGAGAGTATCTAGGTTATTTCAGCCATTGGAACCATTTTGAATAAACTTCAAGAACGAACATATCATACACAGAATTATTCGCTGGTTATGGCAACTCGGCTTAAAACACTATAACCCTTTTTCACATTTAGAACAAATCTGTCCTACGTTGTAATTATTTAACATCGCCATTTCTTTAAAAGTGTAGCTCTTCGCCAAGGCAAAGAACGTGTATGTTAGGAATGAAAGCTTCGCCAAACAAGACTGGCTACGACAGACCTCAGAGGGAAAAATATACTCCAAGTTTATTTTACAGGGGCTATCCATCCAACCTTAATACTTTTTTGCGCATGCGCGAAATAGCCGTCAAACTGGTGTAGGCTTAATACCTTTTTGTGCATGGGCGAAATAGTTGTCGAGTCGGTGTCGAACGTCAAAGTCTCGTTTGTCAAGAGTTCAAAATTCTGTGATACCATTTGTTTGCCATGCAGATCAAATCAGTGATCCGCACAACTAGATCAATTAATGGATTATTTATTTTGAGCAACAAAATTCTACGAGTCTATTATTCAAGTCTCAAACTGCTTTACATTAAGTCTATGAAAGCTTTCTTTACATACACGTTCTTTGACCAAGGACTGCCATACCTATGTTGGACAGCTATTTTAAAAATTTCATTTCTAAGAGATAGAAGACAATTGTTCTAGTAAATAATATTTTGGTCTTTTGCTTTTATTTGTAATTATTTATGCATTAAATGACGTAATTTTACCCTAAATAGTTTTAATTCTTTATCTTCATTTCAATTTTTTCGGTTTTTTAATTTGATTCAACTTTTAAGATTATTTAATATTCCACAAAACAATTTTGAAACACATTTTAAATCTAAATTGGAAATTTTAATCCTAAAAAGGCGTAATGAATGCTTGATAGTTTATTTATTGATTTTTTTCAGTTAAATATACTTTCAAGTAGTTAAGAACAGAAACGCCTAATCAGAATTCCTTAATTACTGAATGATAGTATGGTAAGAGGTTAACACCCCATGGTTAGTTAACCTAATGTCATAAAGTCATCGATAATTAATTAAATTAAGATTAATTAATTATAAAAGTTTTAATTACAAATACAACTTTTTTTGCCATATTTTTACATTTCTTTACAAATTTTTTCTCACTCCCTTTTTACAATTTTTAATTCAAAAAAAAAAAAATAAATAAATCCGAATTGCTTTAATTAAAATCTTTCGGTTTATTAGAATTTATTAGCCCAAAGGAGCGTTAGACCCGAAGGGCTGTTTGTCTCAAAACGGCATTTTGCCTCGTTTCACTTTCTGCTTTGGTTCACTTTTCAAACTGTTGCCACCAAGTATTATCGCCATGTATTATATTTAAAGAAACCGAAAATTTAAAAATCTGCATGAATGCGTGAATTTCACATTGAATGACTGCATGCTTCTCGTACTATGAAAAACGACGGTACCTAGAGCCATCAAGTTTTGAATAGGGTAGTTCTTCAACCGAACATGGGCATTTGGAAGCCCGAATTTTAAATTTCGAATTTGTTTTATTACCTATTTCAAATTTTGTAAAATTTTAACGAATTTTTTATTAACAAACTCCACGATTTCAAAGCGAGCAATGGCAACATTGCACGGGAAAAAAGCACTTTTTATCTCCAGCTCGCGAGATGGTGTATCGGAAATTCCAAAGATGTGTGGTTTTGCTATTTTTAGTTATTTTGTGATATTGCTGCTGAATTCAATTTTATGTACTTTAAGTGCAAAGAACATGATATTTAATAAATAAAGGTAAATCACAAAACATTAAAAAAAAAACGCCTCTTTAAGCGTAATATAAAATCTGAAAACTATAAGAATTTTTTTTCCCTTTGATCTTATTTTTATTTTAATCTATATATATATACAGACACACACAAGAAAATATTTCATCAGGAAAAATCACTTACCACTTTGAAAACAGTAAAGAGTACTGTAAAGTTCCAGTAACATTTCAGATTTCTCAATGATACGATGAGCTTTAGTATCATCGATAATTTTTGTAAGAACAGATGTCTGTAAAATATTTTCCAGGAAATAATATTAACATAACCAAAGCTAAATTCTTATATGGAGATTGTATTGTTTAACTTGCTGGCATTAATTGAATAATATATAAATGGATTGTAAAATAATACACTGATATGTGGTTTGCATTAAAAAACAAATATTGCATTTTAACTTAATGAATATGACTTTCAGAGCTGAAAACAAATACAATTAAATTAAGAGAATTAATATAAGCCTAAACTGAAATATATTACTGCGTGTTAAAACACATTTCAAAGTCAACTTAACCTATACAGACGCTTAAAACGCATCTAATTTAACTACTGCGTACCACATTAGATTGAGGAATTGTTTGCCAGATCCATTTCTCAGTCCGGTCTTCTAATTTAGTGCAATGGGTGTAAGTCGACTATTGTCTTGTTGTTGTTGTTATGCTCACTTGTCTGATTTTTTTTTTTTAATATGTTTTCCTCATCTGTAACCAATCAGATTATCTTAGAAAATTCCTTTCACGAAAGTATATCTTCCTTAGGGATCTTCTTCTACCAGGTTTTTGTCATATCAAATAAACAATTAAAGAATCAAAGTTAGAAAGCGGGAAGTTTTTCTGGCGAAACAAAAATGTTAACATTAAGAAGTTTTAGATTATAAGTTAGTTATTTCTCGATAACAGCATTTTAGAGTTTAGAAATGTGAATTACAAATGCAAATTGGAATATAGCGTGACCAATTATATGAAAATGAGATATCATCGACGGTGTGTTTCGATAATAACCAACTATACATTTGCATGAAACATCGTTTATATTTCACTTACCCCATAAGGCAAAGAACATTCGTTGCATTTGCAGTTCTTCTGATATGAAGATAGAAAAATTTTCGCATATTCCATATCACAAACCTTGTGAAAGTTATTGAGCTTCAGCTAAAGAAAAACGGCATAAATGACAATCCTATGTTCATGCAATAACTTTCATGCTTATTTGTAATGCACGTAATGAAAATTAGTAATGTGATTCTTAAATAATATAAAGGTTACATAAAAACGAAAGTAATTTGAATTGCAATATGTTTCATTTCTTAAAAATAATATATTTTTGATATAAATTAAAACTATTACCGCTTTAATATTCTTCTCAATTTTTTTTAAAGTACGAAGCTTAGCATCAGTACCTTCTACGGTGACCAAAGCATTTGGTATACAGGACTTATTCAACTGAGAAAATCTAGAAAAAGTGTAAGAAATTTCTTTCAGTTAAAGTAATCAGTTATTGTTCCAATACAAAAAAAAAAAAAAAAAAGTTACGAATTTTGTACAAATGTAAATAATTTTTGTGACATTATATGTGAATATATAACATAATGTTAAAAGTCTGAAGATACGAAGCTCTGCCAGGAAAAATAAAATTGTAACAGCAAGTCTATTAACATTGCAGTAAACAGCTATCTCGCTGACTGGCGAGATATCGTAGAGCTGGCGATGGTTTTGGCAACATATTGGTCCCGTCCCTGTAGAACTGTAATTGATACTGAAATGAATAACTGTAATTGATCTCTCTATGTAACTGTAAACGTATCCGAACATCTATGCCTTCCAGTAATTTCGAGAAGTGGTGAATACTAGAAATTTCTCGGCGGCCGAGGGAAAACTGTCTAAGATCGGGGAAAGCATGAACTTTCATATTTTATTTTATTCAGAGCAGACTTCGGAGTACTGAGAGATCATGCGAGCTTCAGTTTTTGAGTCCGCTTTGAATTGTGTTGTGTGTTTAACTTTATTAGTAGCTTGAAATGGTAACTACTGCTAGAGCTGTGTTAAACTGAGAAGAGCTGTACGAGTATTTTTAAGGACAGTTCCAGAACTGTAAAATGTTTCTTTTGAGAAAATAAATTTTATCAAGTTGCCATCCGTTTTGTGTGTATTCAATCCATTACGAACCTCTTCGTAATTACGTAACGTATTCGGAAATTAAGTACAGTTTCATTCTAGCGCCGTTGCAGCGCTGTGGTAGGCGTTCCGCGCATGCGCACTAGTCTTTCTTATTCACTTTCAATTGTCGCCATTTTGGTTGCTCTATGTTGTGTTTTCAGTTTGCTGTGCACATTCAAAAATGTTAAACATTAGCTCTCCCGCTGACTGTGAGATTCGTGCCGTGATTAAATTTTTGAACGCGAGGAATGTTAAACCGGCCGAAATTTATCGTCAAGTGACAGATGTTTACGGTGAATAAGCGATAAATAATAGAATGGTGAGAAAGGTGGGTTAAGAATGTTTAATGCAGGTCGAACAAATGTCCACTGCCGAGGTCGGAGTGGTCGGCCTTCTGTTGTCACCGATGATTTGGTATGGAAAGTTGATGAAGCATTTCATGAGAACAGACGCTTCACAATGACAACTCTTTCAGAGGCATTTTCCACAAATTTCCCGTACTGTTTTGTTCGAAATTGTGTCTGACCGACCGCTTGAATTATCGCAAACTGTGTTCCCGATGGGTTCAAAAAATGCTCACTGATGTTCACAAAACAAAGCGACTTGGTAGTGCCCTGACATTTCTCACGCGGTACAGTGATGAGGGAGAAAACTTTTTAAACCACATTGTGACAGGTGATGAAACTTGGGTGTGTCATTTCACACCAGAATCGAAACAACAATCGATGGAGTGGGACACACACTCATTCTCCGAAAAAAAAAGTTCAAAGTGACATGTCATCACAAAAATCATGTGCACTGTCTTCTGGGATAGGAAAGGCGTTTTGCTTACTGAATTTCTTCCAGAGGTGAAGCCATTAATGCGGCACGATATTGTGAGACTTTAACAAAAAAACTAAGGCGTGCCATTCAAAACAAACGAAGAGGAATGCTCAGTAAAGGAATTGTGTTGCTCCATGACAATGCTCGGCCCCATACTGCTGGTTTCACTCAATCGTTAATTCGACAGTTTCATTGGGAGCAGTTCGATCACCCGCCGTACAGCCCGGACTTGGGTGCCTTCCGACTATCACTTGTTCCTGCACATGAAGCGCGAGCTTGGTGGCAAGCGCTTTGGATTTGACGATGACACGAAAAATGCTGTGGAGTCGTGGTTATCAAAACTGGCGATAAGTTTCTTTGACGATGGTATACAAAACCTGGTCACCCGCTATGGCAAGTGTTTGATCGTTGGCGGAAACTATGTTGAAAAATAGTTTAAGACATGTATTTTCATGTAAAAATAAAATTGGATTCGAAAAAATTGTTTTACTTTTTTTTTTTTTTTTTTTCCAAAACGGTACTTAGTTTTCGAATACGCCTCGTAGTTAGTTCATAGAAGCGAGATTAAATGCGAGTGACAAGAGGGACGGCTGAACAACTGAGACAGCAGGCGGCAGCTTTTTCTGTATTGAAAGGAGAGTTGAAAGGCCCAGAAGAAACGAAATGGGCCAAGAAAATATTGAAGGGGCAGACAAGGTACTGCAAAAAAAGACTGAATCATGCCAAGAGGAAATGAAAAGAAAAATTAGTGCCATAATAGAAAACAAACTTCAAGCTGTATAAGGCAGAACAGGCAAGGTTGAAAAGAAGCCTGGAAAAATTGAAGAAAGGTTATCTGCTGCTGAACACCGAATTGGAAAAAACGGTCCTCCTGTCAAACAACAAATCGAAGAAACAGTTTCTGATGCCTAAAAAAATTGATTACAGAGTTTCTTCTGCAGTCGCCAAGGAAGTTGATATCTTAAAGAAATCCATAATTAACAGCAGGAAAAAATTCTGACGTATTTTAATTCCTAGCCTTGTCTTCTCACCTTTCTCTAAAGCTATCCATATATGATGGCAGGACCTCTTAGCAAATATACAAAACTCAATTTTCAATAGTGGTGGGCGCAAATGGATGGAATTCCCAAGGCTAGGCCTGTAACCCCGCCGCTTCTTTGAGAGCGGACGCAGCGGATATACTCTGCCCGGAAACCAGACGCTAGATTTCAAAGCTCTATTCTGGGCATTGGAGCTGCTCTTTGGGGATAAGTGTTCAAAGACTATAGCCGCCGTTATTTAAAATCTCCCTATAGTGGCGGAAAGCAAATGGATGGGATTTCCAAGCTAAGGCCTGTCATCTCGACGCTTCTTTGAAACCAAACGTTTCGAATATCCTTCAGACTCTTCCCGAAAACCAGAGGCCAGATTTCGAAGTTCTAGTCGGCAAGTTGGACCTGCGCCTTTGGGGACAAATGCTTAAAAGACTACAGCAGGCTTCAATCAAAATCCCGTTAACAGAAGCCCATGGGAACACTCCAGGAGTTCTCCACGGATGTTGAAAGGCTGTCTCACCTCGCCTTTTTAGACTACCCATCAGAAACAAGGAAAATGTTGTCCCTGCAGTACTTCATCGATGGCATCCCGGATCCTGAGATTCAAAAAGCCCTGCGAATGGCGGATGTGAAGGATATAAAAAAGCGCTTTAGTGTACGACATGGAATTCGAGGCAACCCAGCAAGCATTTCAAGAGACTGCCACCCAATCAGAGTTGCTAAAGACCAAAACCCAGTGGATCAAGATCTTGATACAGAATAGGATGACAGAAATCCAATCCTAAAGTGCTAGAACAGCAGTGTTGAAAGCCACGTACGAAGGAACAGCAAAATAACAAGGGCAGGGAAGGTAAGACCGCATCGTAGCAAGGACGCAAGAAACAATTTAGTGGCCATCTCGCGAAGCGGAGAATGAAAGATAATGCGAAGCCCCATCTTAAAACACTTTGAGATTTCTGAAATCAATGGCAGCAGTTATGAATATTTCATCATGGAACATATCACTGGAGTTTCTTACAATATGACCATCCATACAGGAGCCAATGTCACCATCATCCGAAAAGATTTGGCTCAACAATTGGAACGTAAACTTATGTGGACGCCGCCTTGCCTTACTGTCCAGAATTTGTCCGCGAATAAAATCAACATTGATGGAAAATTAAATCTAAACATCACGTTTTGAAGTGCCGTCTACCATCACACGGCTTGTGTAGAAAATATTACACACCCTTCCATACTTGGATTAGGCTTTCGACGTAAATTCAATTTTGACTTGCACTTTAACGAACTGCGTTCTCCTTTTGAGGACATAACCTGATAAGAAGAGAGTGAAAAATTATGTTTCAAAGCGACACAATTAATAGGGAGAGAGAAAACAGAGAAATAAAACGAAATTAAATGTAATCAAAGTACTTATATTATGGAAACTATGGGAGATAAAGAGTTTTGTTGTTACTGACTAAACGGTTATCCATTAGGCTGTGCCAGATCCATGAGTCCAACAGCGGTCAGTATTTCCAATACGAAGTTTGGTCTTTTGCAAGTTGCAAACGGTGTTCGAGTCATTAAAAATTTGCATTACAATTAATTTTTGCAAGCATATCTTCGCTGTTTCTTGTGTTTTGTTCAATTTTATTCTTTCTGAAAATCGAGTTGTTGTGATCAGCAATCTGCCAGGATAGGCAAACATGTAGTATATTGGTGCCGAGCGGTAGAAACACACAACTAATATTTTTAAACGTTCAAGAGGATATACTGTACACAATGAAACATGCATAAAAGATTTCAGTTTTCAAAAATCAAGCCTCAATAACCAGTTTTCCACCATTAAAATATTCTGTAACTCAAAAAGGGATATAAATGTTATTCTATTTCAGTAGTTTATACGAATATGAGTAATTAACTTATTCATAGGCATTATGATTAAAAAATATCTGGGAGAAATGCATAGACAGGTAGAGGGTGTCGAAGCAAGCAGATTTTGTAAACAGAATATGTGTGCGGAAATGGCGAGCCGAGATGCAACAGGGCACTTTTGACTGGGAGATGAAAGGATTCTGCAGCGTTTATCTTCATTCGCTGTGCGAACTTTGAGCGGTAAGCATCGTTAGATGAATGCAGAACTCGCCAGCATTCATTTTATCTGTGAGGCTGCGGATTGGAACGGAGCAGCTGCTCAAGGAAGTACACTGCTTGTAACCTCGTTACTTGCAGACTATACCTAAATCCCAAAATTAACACAAATATCCATCATTACTTGCAGCATTTCAACTAAGATAAAATATTTAAAATCACCTTTCCAGCCTGCGTTACTCCACTCAATGCTAGTTTATGACAAATAGATCAAATCACACTAATTCGTATCAGAACAGCACCTGACGATACTCGGTTTCAAAGAATTGTAGAATCGCTGTATCGACGGCGTTGTTAATTTACCCTCTCTAATAATAAGATGCACTCGCTATTTAAACTTATATAAATTAGAATTCTGGTGATGGTCAAATGAAATGAATAATTAAATTAAACTAGAACTATATGATGTTCATTTATTTTCTTTAAAATACTGTTTACTTTCGGAAGTGATCATATTTGAGAGATATTGGACATGAGAAGCTTCACTGTATTTGATTTCTACTGTAGGAGTAATATATGTGTTTTGAAAGACTAAAAATATGCCCGATCCTTGGGGAAAGATTTATTTAATATTCTGCAATAAGAAAGATAAGAATAATATTACATGACTTACCCAATATAAAATCCATTTATTTTTGTAAAATATCCTGCGGGGGAAACATTAGCTATGTATCCGAAAAGTACCTAAAACGTTTTGGAGAAAAAGTGTTACAAAATGCTAGAGTCAATTGATTGAAAACCAGATGGCTCCAACTAATACTATGTATAACAAATTTTACATATTAACAAATTTTATTATTTAAATATGCAGAACAATATGTGAAATTTACAAATATAATCAGCATGCAAATAATTTAATTTTCAAAATAATGCTAAAAACTGCAAAGCATACAAGTCTCACAGCGAGTAGTCATACACTGTTCAGGGTACGTGTTAGGGAAACAGCTGATGAGTGGTGGATCCTTACGGCAGGCTCAACGTTTACTAAACCAAGGCAATTTTCAGCACCAGCACGGTTTTGGAAGCTGATGGTGATTTGGTTCGGACTCTTAAAAGCATCTCGAAATTTTTCACTCGAGTTTAAGTATGGATATTTGTAGTCAATCCATCTGTCGAAATCTTCATTTAACTGATATTCATTCCCTAGCTGAGTTCTATATGGACGAGCGCTATCTCCTTCATAGGGAGAAACGAAAATTTAACAGCGCTTCTGAAACTTTGAACCTATGCCTCTAAGATCGTCTCTTTATCCTCCGAGCCGGCCAAGAGCCTCTGTCAAACACGGTGGTGTGCGACCATCTGAAATGAGGTCTGTACAGCATGAAACTTTCACTGTACAATGGTTCTTTTCTCTGATGTTAGAGGAACACTATCACGTCTAAGATTCTCTCTAGAAGAACGTATGTTGAGAATAAGCCTCTAGGTTGAATCATGAAACTCACTGAAGCTCAATCCAGGTTGAAGGTTCTTTTGTATGATGGAGTATGCCGAAAGGAAACAGCTGATCTTCTGGCAAAAAGCTCTTTCTCGCGAAGCCTTACAGTAAAGTACTCGATGAAAGTAAAATTCCAGGGGCAGTAGAGAGTTTATGAGAAAGCTCTGCTGTTGTAACAGTCCTTTTGGGTCTGCCTGATACAGACAAATATCGATCTTCATTGAGCATCATAGCTCTTGGACGTCCTCTTCCAGGCCCTCAGGATATAGATTTGGCCAATGAAGTTGTTTTTAGAAACTGTACATGGTAATGAACGTACTACATCTACTATCTTGGAACATGAACTCGGACCTGCCCTTGGCGAAACAAGTGGTTGCTTCCTATATCTGCCAATGATTCTTCTCATGTGTCTGTCATCTAAATTTCGTGGTTATTCATTCTTACGCACTACTTACGAAATTTAACAAAGGTTTGAAAGAAATGTTATGATTTATCACCAGTGCGCGCGAATGAAATAAGAGCGGAATAAAAGGCAACGTTTTCTTAAAAAAATCTTTCGTTGTCGCATCTCCTTGTACAATTACGTATTGCCTGCCGACACTTTATTATTGACCAAATTTCCAGAAAAACCGCATTAGTTTGTAATTTTGAATATTAGTGTACTGCTATTCATTAACAAATATACCTCACCATTGACAATACATGTCATCAAAGGTTTTCGAGATAAGGACTTGCTGAAGGAAATCTGAAGTTTCCAGCTCCGAGGATGGGAAAGATCGCGCTCACAATCGCGGTAATACAATATTACTTATGACCGAAAGTCTTTTGTTGATTAAATTCTTTCTCCTTTATGGACATAAAAAAATTAATTAATTGAGAATCTCTGCTTTTACTTTGCATCATCAAAGACATTATTGTACAATTTTAGGTAAACGCATTCCAAAATTTTTAAAAGGTAATTTTCAAATATTTTGTTACTTTTAAATCAATCACGATGTTTATTTCATCATCTTCACTGCACATAAATGTCTTACCTAATAATATAAAAATCAATGAAATACATAAAAAGTATCATCTAATTTACTTGGTACTTGAATATTAAAGAAAATTCATACATCATCATTTAACTATTGTACGGGCTTACGAATTCGTAATGGACTGAATGCACACTGAACCCCAGATAGCCTGATAAAATTTATTTTCACAAAATGAAACAACTTACAGTTCTGGAATTTTTCACAGAAATACTCGTACAGCTTTTCTCAAATATCAAGTATCTAGCTGCCGGGGACAACATGAAGTTAGAACTATCATCCTTACAGAGGATTTAATGATCGAAACAAAAGGAGGGATCACAACTATCATTTAAACTTGTAAAGAAAATTTTACGAGACTTACTAAAATAGTAATTTTAAACACCATGCATATTTTGGGACATAAAGCACATAAAAAATTCAAAATTAAGAAAATAGTCCAAAAAATTAAAAATCAGTACAAACATAAGTTTTCAAAAAAAAAATGGTGAAAATTTAGAAACTTCAAAATTGCAAATATCAGATAGAACTGAAAGCTTCATCATTGCCTATCATTAAAATTAAAATTATTTCTCAAATATATTAGTTTTTCTTGAAATTGGCGCAAATTTATCTTTGTTTCAACCAGATGTTGTTGAGAAAATTCAGCAATTCATTAAGTTGAATTTGTTCAGCTTTTGGTTTCGCGAAATTAAAATAGGTAAAATAGAATTGCTATGCAAGAACGTTGAAAATTATTACTTTCGGTGTTTTCAATTCTTTTTGATACAATTTCTCGTCGAACTAGATAAGTTTTCTGCCTGTGGTGGTTAAGATAAAGAAATTTCTTTAAGACTTATAGAGCATTTCTCGCCTTTTTGAATTCAGTTTTTATAAAAAAAACTTTACGCAACTGTATAATGCACTCTAGATTAAAACTACATAGCATAAATTTGTTAGCTGTTACTGAATACATTAATGAAGTATTTGGCCAAAAACAAATTACTGCCGTACGGTAGATTTCTTAAAAAATATTTACAACCTGGATTTATTCAAAAGAAAATTCTTTGTATTATCATCATTTTGTTACCTATTCATTAAGAAGGAACATGATTAAGAAGCTTCGAAATTAAGCACAATTTTTGTTTTAGTAATTGGTAAATGGCAACAGTAATGATGCTTTTATGTAGAAACTTTTCACCTTTTTTTTTTTTTTTTTTCAGTTATATATAAGCCGTTCATAATGTGAATAAACTGTGAAATTCAATTGCAAATATTTCCGTTTGTCTCACCATTTTAGTGATTGGACATTTTAGATATTGTGATGGCAAGGCTTAGGTTCACTGTGTTATCAAGCATACCACGACAGATTGTAGACTATATTGGCAATCCATAACAGAAGAATGAGATCAATATCCTTCCATCTTGCTTTCGTTTTATGCGATCCCTTCTCGGATCGTCGACTACATCGGAATCCATTTAGATGTATGTTCACTGTAGACTGAGAAATGCACTTCTTAAGAGATAAAATTCTTGATCTAATACTTTCTGCACAAGGAATTCAACAGCAACAATGGCTCATCCTTTCAGTATCTTTACTACATATAAGTTACTGCCTGTGATTAGATATTTTAGATATAATTTCTAATTTGTATTCGTAATAAATAACTATAAATAAAATTCAGAGCAGTTCATAAATTTGATTGAACCGACTTATACAAGCATCGTTTCTGATCACCGATTAAAGAACTAAAACTATTATTCCCAGTCGCCGACTAAGATGGTTAAATTAATAATTTAGTAGATTTTCATGCATAAAATAAATTCTTTTGTAAAATCCTCAATAAAGGAATAGAATCTGTGTTTTATAATAACACAGATTCTATTCCTTTATTGAGGATTTGTATTCCTTTATTGATATTTTGTAAAATCCTCAATAAAGGAATAATTCTGTGTTTTATATACTTTAACTTCTTAACCTTAAATCATCATACGGTATACGGTTTCATGAGATGAATATTATATAGCTTGACATTATATAGCTTTAGCAGATACGAATTGTATAATATTCACATGAAATGTAAAATGTCTTTCTGATGAAAAGAAGCCCATTTAAAAAATACTACATAAGATTACTGACATCCGTGATCTATATTTTACATGTCTATTTCTACTAAGTAAATTGAACAATATTCTTTAAAAAATATATTTTAAATGAGTATTACCCTCATCTTGACATTTTACAAGTACTAAATAAATAGTAAGCACATTTAAAACAGTTACGCCAGAATTATCAGTAAATGGTTAAAGTAGATATTTTTTTAACTGAAGAATAGAACTTGTTATCACATTATGAACCTTGACATACCTTTCCAATTATTTCAAAAACCTGATCCTGTGGAGGCATATTTTCCACACCGATGTATTTTCTGACTTCCGCTGCTACTTCCTTGAACGCAAGCTTCAGTTTAGGGTTGGAATCCAGTTCATCCGTATCTTGATAAGAAAATGTTGAATGCTGTTACTGTATATTACATTCAACTGTTGTTTTATTACTATAATTTTAACACAAATATCTCATAAAAAAGCACAAAAATAATCATTTGAATTTTAATCATTTCAGGCATGAGAAATTTATTCATTTTCATGTGTGTGTGTGATTATGGCAAAGCCTCGAGGGCTATCTGCCTAAGATGAGGGATGCCTTCGTGGAGGACTTTCTAAGGGAAATTGACTCGTATATACGTTACACATGGGGAAAACCACGAAAACGCCCATGCAGCCAACCCGTTCGCGGGATTCGAACCTCGGACCGAACTACCAGTGTTCAGCGACTTTACCGCTCGGCCGCTGGTGGGCCTCATTTTCATGAAATAGATACACTGCATTTGCAATAGAAGCGCCGCAAACCGAATCGTATTCACTCTTAAAATATTTTTGATGGCAAATATTTTAACTATCAAATACAGATAATAGTGAAGTGAGATAATATAATTTACTAATAACGTGGTGAAGGATTTGTACGAAAACTAATTTAATATTTTTTTCAGTTGTTAATTTATAAATAAAAAATTTCCGTTTAAAACATTATTTTAAAGTTCCACTTATCATAAAATCGACATATTAGCATATGTTTGCAATGAAATACTTCATAAAGCTCATTACACTAATTATACACAGTAAATGATATTTTTAGAATTAAAATCTTGTAAAAATGCTTTGAAAACCTGCAATTTATTGTTAATAGGCAATTTTGCTTGGAGTAATTTTTCTGTTTATTCCTTTGTTTAAACTTTAAAATTAGTTTTTAATTTTAAGTGTGGACGTATACACACATAATTCTAATGATAATACAACGTTTCATAGCGAAAGTTTCAAAATTCAACACATATTTTTAATTTGGTTCTTTGTTGAAATCTGTCTTTTAAATGTATTTGCTGGCCCGGACGCCTCCGCAGTGTACCAAGTGTAGCCACGTGATATGTTATGTAAAGGCAGAGACGCCTTGTCGGCGTTATGCTTGTAAGTATTATGGAAGCTACCAAAGGCTTTCAAAGAGAATTTTGATTATTAATAAACTATTATTAAGTGTAGTCTTCTAGAATTTACTTACTGTATTTCATTGTGTAACTTTGCAGTGTTTTTCACTCCTATGCGTACTTAAGGATAAAAAAATCATCGTAAAATTCCTACCTTTGTTCCATTGGATTGATCGATGGAGCAAAGGCATGATTTCCAAATGAAGTTTATTCAGAATCTTTAGCTTTGTACAGGGTGATCAACGAATAAGCCCTGATTTCAAAATTAAATATCTCTACAACAGAGATCGATAGAATTATGCGGTAAACTGTACGTTTATTAGCAAAACTGTAAAAATGGCGTACAAAAGTTTATAAAATTTAGTTACGAAAATCGTTAACAGATGGCGCTCTAATCGCAATGACCTATCAATAGCCTTTAAAATATGCTTCGAAATCGAAAGTGATCAGTACAACTGTTGGCTAGTGAAAAGAGGCTAGCGTAGAAAGTGAAATAATGTATTCCATTGAACAACATGTATTTTGGTTCTGGAATTTCACCGATTAGAACACAGTCCTACGGCAACACGTCGCAGTTTTCAAAACCGATTCAATGTTCCACTTGGACCCGATGCGAAAACCACTCGCATGCTCTTCGCGAAATTCGGATGGACTGGCAGCGTGGCTGATGATCGAAAGGGAAATGTTGGGCCTAAGCAAATTATAGTCACTCCGGAAAATGCAGCCAAAGTTTCTGGAATTGTTCAGCAAAATCCAAGGAAAAGCATCCGACGGATTGCATCAGAGACAGGTTTGAAGTACGCGAGCACACAAAAAATATTTAAAAATAGCCTACGGCTGTTTCCATACAAAATCCAAAGTCATCAGGCTATAACCCATGAAAGCTGTGGGTTGACTTTGATTGATTCTAACAATGAATTAAATCTTTTGAATCAGATTCTAACAATGATCGACAACGGCACATTTGATGTGAGCTGCATCTGGTTCCCAGATGAGACACATTTTCATTTGAAGGGAATCGTTAATAAACAAAACTGGAGATTTTCGGGTATCGAAAATCCTCATTTGTGTGAAGAAAAAGCACTGCATTCGCCTAAAGTTATGGCATGGGCTGCGGTATGCGCCAGAGGCATTATCGGACCCTTTTTCGTACGAGAAACGATAACTTCTGAACGTTACGTTACAATTTTGGAACAATTTGTTCAGCACTCAACTAAGCGTTGGAGGATCGACTAGGTATTGACTGGTTCCTGCAAGATGCGGCTCCGACCACATCGAACAAATAAAGTTTTTCACTTTCTTCACGAATACTTCGAGAATAGAGAAATTGCGTTAGATTATCCTCAATTTACTGACACAGGAATAGCTTGGCTTCCATATTCTCCCGATCTGAGTCCTTGTGACTTCTTTCTGTGGGGCGCATTGAAAGACGCTGTCTATCGAAACAATCCTGCTACTCTAGATGAGCTTGAATTACATTTCCGTCCAGACATTGCAAGAGGTGATGTCAAATTTCATTGTTTGTTTACGCCACCTCATTGTTTCGAACAGTGAACATTTTGAAAAAATTGTATTTTGATTGCAAAGGCTGCTTCACTTTATTTTTTTAATTAATTTTTTTTGACTCCTTTCGGAGAAAGAGTTTTCAGTGCAGAGCACCATCTGTTAACAATTTTTGTAACTAAATATTCTAAACTTTTGTACACCATTTTTACAGTTTTGCTAATGAATGTACAGTTTACCGCATAATTCTATCGATTTTTGTTGCAGAGATATTTAATTTTGAAATCAGGGCTTATTCGCTGATCACATCACTTTTACAGATTTTTTTCAAAGCTTATCAGGGGTCTGGTATGAAACTGTGGTTGCAAATCTGATTTATCAGGAACAGCAAACACTGACGGATATTTCACTCCAAAGAGAAATTTAAAACACCATTGGACAGACAAAAAAGATGTTGAAAGAAATTAAGATAAGATTTTCGTTGCCAGGCTTAGTAGAAGGAATAATTTTCTTGCAGTTAGAGGCTCTTATTTTACCTCTTTCTTTGGACTAAAAAACATAAGTAAAATGTATATATAAAAAATTTTCAATTTTTTTTTCTTTTTAATTCAATGTACTGAAAAACAATAAAACAAAAAATAATAGCAGTAATAATTTTATACGTATCTCAATATTATTACATATTTAGGGCTAAAAATAAAAGCTTGGAGTAATATAAAAACAATATACTTGAACACAAACAGAAATTTTAGGGAAAATAATACTGAAAGTGCAAATAGGATTCTACAAGAATAATATTCAGTTTATTGTACTTTTTGTTTGAGAGTTTTGATTTAAAATCTGTCATTCCCATTATCCCGATGAATTTAATTTTAAATAAATATGACCAAAATATTGTTATAACTAAAATTTTATTATTTACTTTGTAGTACATTTAAGTAAAATTGTGTGTTTTAAAATATTTATATTCATATCTTTATATCGCTGCAGGCGTACGGGTTGGTAATGGCTTGAATGCGCGCAGAACCGATGACAGCTTGATAAAATTTATTTTCCCAAAAGAAACACTTTACAGTCCTGGAATTCCCTCAAACGTATTCGTACAGGTCTTCTCAGTATCACAAAGCACAATCAGTTACGCTTCAAAATACTCAGAACGTTAAACACAACGCAATGTAAAGTGCGTCTGAAACGATCACAGAAATTTCTAAATACTCCGAAATCAGCTCTGAATTAAAAAAAAAACTGGCGTTCTGTCCGGGCTTATATAATTCCTCCTGGCAACGGATAAATCTCTTGTACCTTCCATTTCTCGAAACTACTGGAGGCAGATAGATTAAAGTCACATATAAGGGCCGGATACGGTTACAGTTACATTTAGGAACTATAATTACAGTACCGATTACCAGACCAAGATGCCGCTAAGTATAGCGACTTTTGACGATTTCTCGCTAAATTTGACACCACAAATTAGTCGCCATTTACCATAGTCATTTACCTCAGTGTTAAATAGACATGGCCCTATAATCTTAACTGTCCCGCAGAGCTCCTTCTCTTCAAACTTTCAATGTTACACTATGCACAAGTACTACAACTTCACATATAATTTCATTAAAATTATTCATATCCATATCTGTACGAAATTCGTAACACTGCTTCCTTAAGGATCGTACGTCCTGGGTAGCACAATCTATTATCAGGAAACTATGCTTCCAACTAAAGCGAACCAATGTAATACTAGCACGATAACTTCAATAATTAACTTACAAAAATCAAATACTAAATCAACAATTAAATGCATCAATTTACCAATTTGTATACAAATAGGACCACTGTTTTCGTATAATATTTATACTATATATACTATACGGACTACGTACTATGGCCAAGGGGCTAGACTGTCGTAATGAACGATTTTACGCTTAAAATTTGATAACTTAAAGATCCGAACTACGACGTCGTTCAACCTGTTTAGAAGTGTGTAAGATGATTGTTGTTTAGGAGAAAATTCCTTCCGTCGAATCGGATTCCATTACCATAGCTTCTTACATTTAAATCGACGTACTGAACTTTTGTGTCCTATCAGTTCTTCATCGTCTCCGTAGACAAACTTACTCGCTTTCCTGCAAAACCGTGCATCACTCCAAACCATGCCTGGAGATCCTGGATGCAGTCTATAGGCGATTAAAGCGCATCTGGAGAGAGACCAAACAAGAGGTTACAAACAGGCCAAGGTCTTGACTAAATAAGATCTGAGATGAGGAATAGTCGGTAGTCTCGTGGACAGCACTGCGATAGGTCAGTAAGAAAAAAGACAAATTCTGGTCCCAGTCCTGGTTTCGGGAAACCACCAGTGAGAGATTATTAAAGGTGGTTCGATTAAACCTCTCTACCATGCTGTCTGACTAGGGATGTAAAGGTGCCGTCTGGGTTTTGTCTACACTGAATACTCTACAGAGTTTTTTGATTACAGACGAGATAAAATCCCTTATTTTATTGGAATTGAAGAGTCACTCCAAGCCAAGAAAACAAATGCTGTACCATTGCCTCTGCTACCGTCACAGCCTCTTAATCAGAGATATTATATGCTTCAGGCCACTTTGTGAAGTAACTAATGACAAAAAGGATGCTTTTGTTGCCATTAGCACTTCGTACCAGAGGTCCCAGGTTGTAAAAGACGATACGTTCAAAAGGCGGTCCTAAACTGCAACGTGGCGGCTTCCTTCGGCTGTGTCTCTTCGGTCATTTCGAGCACGCATATACATCACAAAACTGGCACCACGTTTACGCGTCAGCTCTTGAATTACTCCAGCAGAAGTGATCTAGAACTCAATGCAATGTCTTCTTTACTAGAAAGTGGCATCCAGCCGAACTGCTATGTAGTACTTTAAGAACGTTTAGTATCTTGCAAGTATCAGCTGCCATCGGAATACCTTTCCATCGTATGATTCGAACTTCTCATACAAGAAGCCGTTTCGAATATGAAGTGAGTCCCTGAAAGCCTAATATAGTTTTTTCGTCGGAATATAGATCGAAATATCCCGCTAGCTAAGTTTCCTGTTTGAAGAATCGAGTAAGTCAGTTAAGGGTTTAATATCGGCCTCTTCCAACTGGTCTTCTCCGACTTCTGCGTCACTCCATGATATTGGATCAGACGACATGGAAGTTGCACCTTGACATGCAATCGCTTTAACCAACTCGTATTTTGCTCCGACCCTGGAACAATACAGCATCTTTCTTTTAGACAGGGTGTCGGCATTTCCGTGTGAGGAATTTTTCCTGTGACAGTGATATCATGTTCCTAAAGTCTCTGTATCCAGGAAAGGTCTTCAGGAATCTTAAAATTAAAGGACCAGGTTAACGATGCATGATCTATGCGGAGCTGGAATTTCAGCTATAGAGATAACGACTGAAATGTTCTATCGCTTTAACTATGGCGAGCACCACTTTGGTAATGACACAATAATTCTTCTCCAGTTTAAATAAATACTTGGTCCAATTTACTATGACATGTTCTTGACCGTTTATTGCTTTGGAGAAAACAGCACCGACTGTCTCATTCCTCGCATCCGTATCAAGAATAATTTGTTTGTAGACCTGAGGATACGTCAGAAATATCGTAGACATTAAAGTTTCCTTCACTTTGTTAAATGCATCCTCGCATTCTTTTCTCCAGAGGAACTTTTGCTTACTGTGTGTTATTTTTTGATGGGGTCTTGGGATGGAAGAAATATCCTTCACAAATTGACTGGTTAAACTCAAAATCTTTTCATCAAATACGTATTCAGTATGTTGGTAGAAAAAATATTGCTTTTGCGTTTAAAATTTTAATAGCTGATTCACTTATAAAATTATTTACATTATTATTGTAATCAGCAAGGAAAGAAACTATCTGATAGTCCAAAAATGAGTCATGTGATTAAATGATTTCGAGTATCGCTACTTTAAGAATTTCGCACGGAATATTAAAGAAAAATAATAAATCCAATTCTACCACACTTCTTATAACAAACAGAAATTTATACTAGTTCTAGCAGTAACATGTGATTGGACAACAAAAGTCTCGCGAAGTGTCTCGAAAATAAAATGAGAGTGATGGGTGTGAAAAAATAAAATGAGAAGGAAAACAAAAGTCTCGAAAATAAAATGAGAGAGGTTTTAATTAAAACTAACATCGCATAAGTATTTGCAAACTTTAAAATTTTTTACATTATAATTCGAGCTATAGCTTCGTCCATTTAGTCACACCGAGGACTGCGGCCGTTTGAGAAGGATGCACCAAAATAACTACTTACGGCTCGTGACGTCAGCAAAACTCACAGTGTCGTTTCCAATCTGATCCGTTATCAGAGTCCAGTCTTCACCCTAAATAAAAGAAGGCATATTTTGTAATGAATTCCAAATTTTGAAATCAACCACAACATTCTATAATTTTTTGTCTAGCCATTGCCTAGCCTTGTAACTTTTTGTTTAGCCATTGGAAATTAAAATAATAAATAAATAAATAAATAGTAAAGAAAAAAAATTAGGAATGAATGAATCCTAACATAAATCATCAGCAAGATATTTATGTTTCAATGTAACTTTATTGAAATGATTGATAACTTGGCCAAGCCTGCAACACTATTTTCAAAGGTGTTTTGAAATAACTTTGTGGCATTTATATTTACATTTTACTAACGAAACGCTGAAGCCCACCAGCGGCCGAGCTGTAAAGTCCCTGAACACCGGTAGTTCGGTTCGGCGTTCGAATACCAGCGAACGGGCTGACTGCATGGGCGTTTCCGTGGTTTCCCCATGTGTATCGAGTATACGATCCATTCTCTCGTGCATTTGCAGGATTTGAACTCTTTCTTACGCATATTGACTGAATTGGAAAATGACTTTTGTGAAACAAATATTTTCGGATTGTGTTGAACTAAGAAATAGCGAACCAAATAATACTCTGAAAGAAGAGGATCAATGGATTATCCTCTCGTGGGTAAATTTTTATTCCTGATAGTGGACGAAATGCGTGTTTACAAAAACCAGTTCCCGGAGTTATTTCCACCTCCCAGGCTTTTGCTGGTTCTTCAGCTACTTATGTTGCTGAACCTATTCACTTTCATAAACATCGAGTTCGTTCGAAATAAACACAGAAGGACTCTACCTAGTGGAAGCACATTCGCCATCCTCCCAGATGAAAGCGATAAAATTAGGATTAATAAAAGTGAGGCTCACACTCAGAACCAAAACACGGCAAAGAAAAAAAAGCCACAAAAATCTAAACAACAGAAACTGACTGCTATCCTCAAAGAAGTGTTTAATTTCATTAATTAATTAATTAATAATTTCATTTATTAATTAAATATTTAATTCCATTTATTTAATCCCATTAGGACAGCACTGTGCTTGCTACACCAGCCCAGGAGGCCGGCTCCGGCAAGGCCACGCTCCCAGCTGATTTGCCAGTGAATCAAGAAGACTCAAGCGACTCATGTGATGGAGAATTCACCTACGCGAATAACAGTAAAAATCTTCTGTCGATAGTTATCAACTACATACAGTATTTATGAAAGAACCTCACGAAAATCCTGGAAAAAAATCTGGGATGAAAGATTGTAAGGCTCAACTGAAAGAAAGAAAAGAATTATAAGTTAAAGTTTTTAACATCGAAGCCTGCCTTAAAGTAACCGGCTTGCTGGACAGCAAACAAATTAAATTTCGCGCCTACCAGCTCGCATCAGCAGAGATTTCCTTATCGACACCAAGATGCCCTAAGTTCTGGTCATTCTTCCCAAGATTCTAAAATCTAGGGTCACAACGTGAACTATCTCATGAAACTCCGAATTAAAGTTGAAGGCTAAAGAGGAGAATCGGAATCATGCAGTGTTTCTGCTGCCAAACATTTTTCCACGCCCAGAACTAGTGCCGTCATGCACGTAGCTGCGTGAAATCTGGTCCAAAAAATTGCAAAAAAACCAAAAAAGGAACCTCCACTCTGCTGCCATTGTGGTCTGGAACATTGTTTCTCTTCCACAGCTTGTTGAGCTAAACTCCAAGCTCGACGAAGCTAATACTGCTGTCGGATGTTTTTCATTTAATGTTTCCATTGGTTTCATATTGTGAATCTGCGCACAATGCACTGTTAACAAGTTTAAATACACAATAATCTGTGTTCAAGGAACGAATTAATCTATTTTATATTAATTCCTACCTTATGAACTAGTTCTAGCTAATAGTTTCAGTTTATGAACATTTCTCTTATCGAACAACTTTCGGGAAGAACTTAATGGGGCTCATACACCTTAAACCCCTTATAATCTTCGAATTATGTGACTGTTGCAAGAATTGGGATATTTTATTTATTTTAAAAGCAACTTCAATCTTTTTACAGCTGAATACATAGTATAGCTACTTTGGAAACAAGCAACCAGAATGTTTATGTTGCCACAAATAATTTTATAATTTAATCCGCTTTGTGACAAAATTTTTCGTCGTGTTTCCACCTTGTGCGCGTGATATTTTAAAAATGGCTAACGATATATACTTGAAATTTGATGGAATTCTTTATATGGGCACTATTTTCTAAACTGAACCAAAAATCTGATGAATATTTTAACAATAAAAAATTTTATGCGCGAAAACATGATTACAGATTTATTTTAATAAAATGCATACATTTATAAACTCAACTCCAAATATTAAATAAAAATTTATCATCAAATTCTTAGAATTTTAGGTTTACAGTAGTTTCCAAATATTATAAAAGCTCTATATTAAGTATGGAATTAAATTACGCAACAGAATGTTTTAAACTGTGTGCGGAAGGTGGAAACTTGACGAAATATTTTACCAAAAATCGGATTAAATTATAAAAACATTTGAGGCAACACAAACTTCCTGATTACTATTTCAGAAAGTAGCTATATTATGCAGTCAGCTATAAAACGTTGAAAGTAATTGCTTTTAGAATAAATAAGTTATCCCAATTCTTGCAACAGTCAAACTATTGGAAGATCTTATGGGTTTTGAGTCCTCTTAATTCTGTAAGCCGACGCTACACTAAAAAGCAACTTCTCTAATTTTAATTCAAAGCAAGCATATTATTAACATTTGCACACAGATTAATATTGATAATCAAGAGAATGAAATACTTATGCACTATATTTTTTCCTTTTATTAGACAATTCTGGAATTGATAAATTTGATTTTTAGTTCAATTGTTTTACTTACTCAATTCCTGTACTGCTCAAACTTACTAAAGGAAAAATCAAAAGGAGGAATATAACTTACCTTTACTTTTATAATTATTTTTCCCACCAATTGAATAATGTAAGTTAACTCATGCTCTGGTAGGTTCTTCAGAAATCTGCATTCGAGTTTGTGATTACTCCAGTCTTTTCTCTAAAAATTAATAATTCAGATTTCAGTATCAGTACCGACTCTCTGAAATCAAATACTTTTTTATTCCAAAATGAAAAATTTGCATTTAGAATTAATAGTAGTATTTTCATACAAAAACGGTTACCAGAAATAAATAGAAAATGGTAAAATATCCAAATAATACTAATTCAGAAGTCAAACAACAAAAATCAGCGTTATATTTTTCAAAATTTTCACAGGACTAGTTTCGATGGTTTTACCGAACCACCATCCTCAGCTGCAAAACCGCAAATGAACAAGATATGAAATAATGATTAGATAAGATAAGAAAGCCTGCACAAGAATAAGCAAGTGGCGCCATCTGTTGGTAAAACCAGAACTAAAATATAATTTCTTTAAAGGCCGAAAGCAAAGATCCAAATAATGTCTATATATGCATTCACAGTGGAAAATATTTTCCCCTAATGTACACTGCGGGAAAAAAAAAAAAAAAAAAAAAGACAGTTCTATACTTCTGTTCTACTGGGCCGATTGACGAAATTCAAATTGCGTTTTTCATGTCTCGAAAGCACGACTTAGGATATGTATTAGATTTATATATAGTATTTTTCTACCATAGGTATTTTGACACAAATGTTTCTGAAATGACATGCCATTTTTTTTTTTTTTTTTTTCATATTTCAATTCTACGACTCAAATTATGCCAAATTCCCAAGTTTTGTAAAAATAACCCGAGCAGTTTTTAAAAAATTAGCTCTCAAAATTTTAGCTTCTCAATGTTAATTGAATTTAATATACATTTATTGATATATTTTTTAATTAAATATACTTGATTCATGTTTCAAAATTTATGTTAATTCCAAATCAAATTCGCCAATTTTTTGTGATTTATTTTTAAAATTTGTATTTTTAAATAATTTTTATATATATATTTTTTTAATGTTGAATTATAACCTATAAAATTGTTGCCATGATCTTGAAGTAGATGTATTTCCAAGCATACCTGCAAAAAATTAAAGCTTTTTATTCAAAACTTCCTAAGATATGCCTGAATTTAAGTTTTGGCGCGTTTTGAATGTTGGCGTATTTATTATAAGCGATAGCAACGTAAATGTGGTGTATGCACTCTGTTAAAATTATTTGAAAGTACAAACGATGACTTTTTTCCCCGCTCGTGCACAAAGAAAAAAGGCAAAGTATAATAGGGCGCTACAAATTAAGAAGTTCGCCAAGTGAAGCATTTGAAGCTTAGCGCAAACTGAAGAAAAATTCGCCAAGATAAATTTTTAAATTTCTCACCAACAATTACAAAATTTAATATCTAGGCATAATTTGAGTCGTAGAATCGAAATATGAAAAAAGGTTGTTGTGTTATTTCAGAAAAAGTCCGATTTTATGTCAAAATACCTATGTTAGAACAATATTATATATAAATCTAATATATATGCTAAGCTGCGCTTTCGATGCATAGAAAACGCAATTTGAATGTCGTTAATCTCCCCAGTTGAACGGGAGATATAGGACTGTCCCTTTTTTTCTTTTTTTTCGCAGTGTACAGCTGTAACACAAAAACAGCAACCCAGGCTAATAAAATGAAAAATATATTTTGAAAAAAATATTCACGAAATCCGAAAATTTTACAATCAGCAAAATTTATGCGCAGATAGTAAAAGTGATTACTAAGCTTAAGAGATATGTGGTAAAGGAGAAATTGAATTCAATACATTCTAAAAGTGTTTACGCTTAGCTGTTGCCAGCACGGGTGATAAAATTACAAATTATGAAATGGAGACGCATTCTAATATACATACAAGATGCTTTAAAAGTGGGAACTCGTATTGAATTCTTTTATTAACATCCTCTTCAAGGGAAGTAAGTCTTCTGACAGACTTCATCGCTTGAAGAAATTGTAAGGTTGTAAGGACTTTATTTTATTCTAACCAATTAGTTTTAGTTTCCTTTCCCTCTTGATATCAGTTTCCCGCCGGAAACTGATATCAAGAGGGAAAATAATGATTTTGAAAGAGGGAAAATAATGATTTAGAAAGAGGGAAAATAATGATATCAAGAGGGAAAATAATGATTAAATTTCGTTTAGCGCTTCGTTAGCTAAGGAGCTAGTCGTTAGCTATCTTAATTTAATGCGCATTTTGCATTCTTATTTTCTGTTAATTTAGTTAGCCACAAGTGGTGGGGAATTTTGTGCACCAAGTGCGTGCATCTGTTCATTTTAGTTAAAATAAAAGGTTTTAAAACCTTCTTCTGCAGTATTTATTCTTCAAAGACATAATGAGTATTCGCTACTTCGTCTTCTACGTAGAGTCTACGTTGTATGCATCCAAAGAAGAAGAGACCGACTCTGTAAGGTTTATATTAACTAGCCCATTATCTTATTATTTTATCCTTACTTTCAAATTATTTTATCTTTATTGTCAAATGATTTAGTACTATTACTTTATCTTTACTTTTAATTCTACTTCCGTCAGCTCCCACTTCAATGCAAATAAGTTACAACTTGCACAAATAAAAAAACGAAGGAGGACGGTTGTAGTATATCTCTTGTCCTAAGAGACGATTGACGAAATTTCACTTGCGTTTTGATGTACCGTAAGCGTGATTTTGGATGTATATTAGATTTATATGTAACATTCTTCTAACGTAGGTATTGTAACACAAAATCAGACTTTTTCTGAAATAGCGTACCTGTGTTTTTCCACATTTCGATTCTATGACTCAAATTATGCCAAATTACCAAGTTTTATAAAGGTCAGTCGCCCCAGTAGCTTTTAAAAAATTAGCTTTCAGAATTTTAGCTTCTCAGTGTTAATTGAATTTGGTATATATTTATAAGTATCTCATTTTTATTAAACTTACTTCATTCCTTTTTTCGGAATATGAAATTTAGGTTGAATATAAATTAAATTCGCAGATTATTTTCTGATCTAGTTTAAAGTTTTGTATTTTTTAGTAATTTTATAAATTTTCCGGAAACCTTTTGCATTAGAACCTGTACAATTTTTACCATCTCCTTAAAATAGATGAATTTCTAGGCAAAAATGCAAAAAATTAGAGTTTTTTATTTAAAATTCCCAAGGTAAACGTGAATTTATATATTGGCGTGTACTGAAATTTCACATGTTTGTTATAAGCCAGCGTTTCATAAACTGTGCGTCGTGACCCCCAGGGAGGTCGCAGGACCTACAGCAGGGGGTCGCCAAAAATTTAGCAGTTTTGATATTTCTTGAACTTATAATTTTATAATTACCAAATATTTTTACACAATGTATCTGAAAATAGATAAATACAGACAAATAAAAATGAAAATCGTTTCGACGAATTCTTTTTAGAATAGAAACATTCATTTTACTTGCTTTGCACGTGACGCTGTCATTTCGTCTCTTACTTATTTAAAATTTTCTCATTCTTCTACGTCTTAAAATTAGAAATTAAAGTTAAGGACTTAAAACCGCAATAGTATGGAAACTTTGTAGGGTTCCTCTCTCTTTTGGGCTAACGTTAATGTCGAGGCGGAGGCCCAGTGGCGCAGCGCGCAGCAGCACCACAGGTCCGGGGTTCGATTCCCGGGCTGGGCAAAGTTGTCTTTCATCCCTTGATTTCCATCACTTGGTTCAATAAAATGAGTACCAAGTTCGCTTGGGAACTAAACACAGGGGGTCCTACGACAAGCTAACCACTTGTTCAGGGCATATGCTTACGCATCCAGGGGCCCACGGTCAGGAAAGCAGATTTCGGACACTGCAGACCCATTAGGGCTGTTACGCCACTGAGTTTAGTTTAAATGTCGAGGAACCTAGTGAACTGTTAAGCGACTTATCGCTGAATTTAAATAAATAAAGACGTAGATTCAAGAAGAGTTAAGTACCCTTTATTTCACTCAAAATAAGATAAACAGTTGGCCCCTTTCTCGGGCTTACAACAAAGCCTCCACTCGGGCTAAAATTCAGAATAAGAAATAAGAACTAAATTAGAACTAACTAAGAGACTTAGCCGAAGCTAAACACAATTATCTAACGTAGATGGCCCTTAATTTAGACTAGACGGTGAATATCAAAAGGCACGTAATAATACGGCTTCAGGAGAGACTTAGCCCGAAGGTAAACACTCGCTACTCAGGATTCCTAGCTCTCTCTCTGTCGAAGTAAGTTGAACCTTCCTTAAATACTACTTTATACTCATTTGCATTCAACGCGATTCAAAAACCTTATTCTGGTAAGGAGTTGTAAGTGGAAACAAGAATTGATAGGAAAGGGTTTCGAAATTAAAATAACTGTTATAAAATTAAAATATACCTTACAACTGCTTTGACATCTTGAGCGATTCAAAAGAAGAAATGGCTAGAAGAGCAGCTTTAGAATCAGATTGTGTGACAACCTCTGTAAAATGTTCAAGCTGACACTGGAGTTGCGATATGGCTATGCGTATGGCCATAATCTCAGCATCAAAAGCAGTCCTGCTCCTTTCAACAGGATTGTAAAATGAAAACGCCTCGCAAAAGATGCCAGAGCCTGTATTAATACTCCCAGTCAACACAAAGCCGTACGTAAACACAAGCAGCCATTCTCTCTCAGAATATGAAGCTTTAATGTTTTCCAAAGACATAGATTTTAAAATATGGCCATTTGTTTCTTTATTGAGGATTTCGTGTTAATAGTGCATCATGTGGGGTGGTTTTAAAAGTATCAGTGATACGTCAAAAAGCTTGGTTGTGAAATCTTTCGAATGTATCGCTCATTTGGATAGATGCTGCCACGAGCGGCTCGCTACAGTAAGTAATAAAAGGTAGAATATAAAAACCTGTGGGGGGGTAGTGTTAGAGATTGCCATACATGACTTTATATTCCCTATAGTATTTTTCAAAAATCAACCGCTTGCGCAACCGGCCACCTAAAACAATTATCATAAAAAAGAAAAATATATATAATAATTTTAATGAGTCCAGCTAATGTAATTTCATGAAAAATACTGAATATATCTGATTAGGCATCACATTTTGACATATGTTTGTAAATCAATCACATTAAAAAGCGCAAACTATTATTTTACGCTTTACGTAAGCACAAACTTACTGTATACTTAAGAACTGTGTTTATTATTTTTAAATCTCTTAATTTATATTATATACGTATTACGGTGATACAGGGACTGGAATAAAATGTCGCCAGGTTAGGCGACTTTTGGCGATTTCTCGCCAGATTTCACCTAACGTTAATCGCCAAAACCGTTGCAACTTGGCGATATCTCGCGAAATTAGCGAGATAGCCATTTATTCAATATTAAATTGACTTGCTCTTGTATTCTTACTTTTCTGCAGAATTTCATGTTACATTATGCAGAAAAATTTTTAAAAAAATTAACATATAATTGGACTAAAATATCATCTATTTTACATACAAAATTCATAGCATCGCCCCCCTCTCAAGACTGCATGTTCCGAGCAGTACAATCCCTAGACAAGAAGCCATACTTACATACTTACAACTAAAGCAAATCAATGCATTACTTAAAGAATAATTGCAATAAATGAATCAGATGTTTAACCAATAAATAAACGCATAAATTTACAAATTCATATACAAATAAAACCATGGTCTTAGTACATTATTTACAATATATACACTATAGGGACTGCGTACTATGGTCATAGTAAGGGGCTAGCCTATCATAATAAACGAATTTAGGCTTAAAATTCGATGGTTTATGGATCCGAACTACGACGTCGTTCAGCCTGTTTAGGACTGTTTAGGGACCGTCTCAAGGTGACCATAGTTTTGGAGAAAGTACTTTGCTTCGGAATGGATTCCATAACCATACCTTGTCACCTTCGTTGAATCGATGTTCTGTAGCTTTCTTAACGCATCGGGTCTTCATCTCCTCCGCCGCCAAGTTAATTTCCTCTCGTGCAAAACTGTGCATCACTTCAAAGCATGCCTGGAGATCTTCGATGTACTCCTCAGGCGATGAAGGAACAAGCGGAGGGTGACCAAACAAGGTATAGCAAGGCAGACGAAGGCCACCACGGAAGAGAATCTGAAACGAATAGCCGGTAGTCTCGTGAACAGCACTGCACTAGGCAGTGCTGTTATGTACTAGGCAAGTAAAAACAGTGCTAACGTTTGGTCCTAATCCTGTTGGTTTTAGGAAACCACCAGCAAGAGGTTATTAAGGATGGGGCGATGAAACTTTCCTATCATGCCATCTGGTTCGAGATATAAAGGTGTTGTTTGGTTTTGTCGATGCCGAGTAGCTTACATAGTTCTTTAATTACAGTCAAGGTAAAATTTCTTCCTTGATCGGAATGTGTTCTTGAAGAGGCACTCCGGATCTGGTAATCCAATGTTGTATCATTATCTCTGTTACCGTGGCAGCCTCTTGATCAGGAACAAGCTACGTTTCAAGCCACTTTATGAAGTAGTTAATGACAACGAAGATGTATTTGTTCCCATCAGCAGTCCATGCTCGAGGTCCCAGAATGCCAAAGGCGGACACGTTCAAAGGCACTCCTACGTAGTAACGCTGGAGGTTCCTTCAAACTGCATTTCTTCGGTTCTTTTCGACCCACACTGGCATCGAATGATTGGCACCGCTTTTTTTCGTCAGCTTTTTCGTTACTCCAGAAAAGCACTCTCGAACTCGCCGTCCGATTCGGATAAATTTAGACAATTAAAATTTACTTATTTAATTCGGATAAACTTAGACAATTAAATTAAAATTTACGGGTATTTACATCTTGAAAGTTTTAACTGATACTTTTAAAACGTTTAAAATTTTTAAATTGTCAATGTGTCAGTTTATACCAATTTCCCATATACATGCAAATACATATATTGTTACATGAGTACCGTTTCGTAATGGATTAATGCACACAGAACGCATGACAGAATGTAGCTTGACAAAATTTATCTTCCCAAAGTAAACAATTTATAGTTTTGGAAATTTCCACAAAATTACCTATACAACTCTTTACAGTATTAATGAGTACAATCAGTAGCTACACTTCAGATTACCAAGAAAGTTATATAGAAAGCAATGCAAAGCGCATCTAAACAGCGAAATTCATACGGAGATATCTCAGTACAATGAACTAACGCTGACCTAAACAACAACTATTCCGAAACTGAAGCTCTCCCAGTTCTCTCCAGTTCTCCTCCTAGGCCTTAGTTTTCTTCCGGCCGCTGAGAGAATTCTAGTACCTTCTCGAAATTTGTGGAAGGTATATGAGGGCCGGATAAGGTTACATTTACATCTAGCATCAAGTACAGCAATTCAATTGCAATAGTTATACAGTTATTACAGATACACAGGGACCGGATCAAAATGCCGCCAAATTATCGTCAAGTTTGGCGACTTTTGGTGCTTTCTCGTCAAATTTAGCGACAAACATTAGTCTCCAAAACCATCGCCAGCTTGGCGATATCTCGCCAAATTGGCGAGATAGCCATTTACTCAATATTAAATAGATTTGTCCCTGTATTCTTACTTTTTCGGCAAAGCTTCGCTTCGGTAGATTTTCATGTTACGTTATACAAGAAAAACACTTTAATTTCACTCGTAATTTCCCTAAAATTATTTACATATGTACAAAATTAGTAACATTATGTTTTACAAATATTGTGTGGAGGAAGTGCAGCCAGATGAATTTAAATCTGAAATGTGACTGATTTCGAAAAATTTTGGATAGCATACGTTACCTGACAAACTTTGTTGCAATATTTAGATATACGGCAACATCCACAAAACTTCAAAGGTGAGTTCCTGGAAAGAGAATTGCAGCAGAATAATATCAGAGCAAAACGTAAAAATACTGAAACGAAATTCCTGTTATAGTCGAATTATTAGTATAAAAAGATTATAACTTCCTTCAATTAATTTCTTAAATTATAGATTGGCTACTCTTCACAGAAATGAATTTTGGAGCAGCGAAGGTGTATGTATCTAGAAGACATGAAAATGAAATTTTTATGAACATTTCTAAGTTTCTCTGTATTGATATTAGAAGCTATTATAGTTTTCTGTTTTTCGCGTTACGTTACATTAGGTCAGGAATGCCCAACCAGTAGCTCGCAAGCCGCACGTGACGCAAACGACTTATTGATGTGGCTTGCATTGCACATCTGGTGATTTCTCATTCTTGTAAAATCAAGGGCCAAGAAGGGAAAGAAAAAGTCGAACTCCAGGTATGCCACACGCTCTACGGCGCAGACGATACACTATTTTACACCAGAAATTGCGTGGCAATATTGCTGTCAGTATCCCACGCATCATTATTAACGTCATAGTGAGTTACTTCAGAATGAACTTAAAGCTATGTTTACATTTGGTAATATTTATAAGTACACTACTTATAACACACTTCTGAGTCATAGAATCGAATAATCGAAAAAAATCGATATGTCTTCTCTAAAAAAGTCTCGTTTTCTGTGGCAAAATGCTTAGTTAGAACCATGTCATATAAAAATCTAATATATCCCAAGTCGCACTTTTCAGGCATGAAAAACGCAAATTAAATTTCGTCAATCATCCTAGTAGAGCGGAAGATATAGAACTGTCTTCTTTACTTCCTTGTACGAAGTAAAAAGGAAGTACTTTTCATCATGAAAACGCAAATTAAATTTCGCAATCATCCTAGTAGAGCGGAAGATATAGAACTGTCTTCTTTACTTCCTTGTACGAAGTAAAAAGGAAGTATTGTAATCGCGAAAAGCTTCAGGCAGCATATTTCAACGAAAATATTCATTTTGACCGCTATCGAATGCAATTTAACGATGTTTTTGCGTGATATCTGTACGTAAGGACAGAATAAAAGACTCGTTTCCTCCAAAAAAATTATAAAACTGCTTTAAAATGAATTCTGAAGAGAATTTTTCATGGCGTCTGTACGAACGTATGTACGTACGTATCTCGCATAACTCAAAAACGAGTAGCCTTAGAACGTTGAAATTTTGTATATAGGACTGCTATAACATGTAGACGTGCACCTCGTATTTTGGTTGCAATCGGCGGCACCAAGCGTATATAAATATATTTATATATATATCCACTCTGTTACCCGGCTCAGTGATCTCAGTTTCTTTACTGGTATATGTTTGTAAATTGTACATTTTTTGCTTTAAAAATGATTGAATTGCGTTGTTTTTATCTTCCGGTTAAGGTTTTTATGCCTTTAGTAAATCTGTATGCAATATTTTTAGAATTATCAACAATTTTAACCTCCTCGGTTCCCTTGTATCACATGTGATACAAAAGTTTCATAATTTTTTGTGAAGGCTGAGCTGCAAAAACAAATTTGGGACCGGTTGTATCACATAAGATACAAAGTGAAATACTTCATATATTTTCCTCGTTTAGTCAACAGATGGCAGTACTTGTCCATGATAGCGATTTCTAGTAGCATCTCTGAATCAAAACAAAATGTCTGCACGTCGTCGAAGTAAGTATTTTTTTCTTATTTATATACAAATATTAAACTATTTTTAAAATATGCTTTCTCTTTGTATATGTACGTTTTACTAGTTAACAGCAAAAAAAAAAAAGAAATTTTTACTGAAATATTAAAGCATAATGACTTGTGAAATTTGTTTGTATCACTTGTGATACAATGGGACCCAATCACTTATGAACACACTTTTTAAGTCAATTTTGTTTTAATTTTTAGTTACATTTTGGGGGGGGATTTTGAAGATTGATAAGAAGTATTTCTTGAAGTTAAAAATCTTTAGTTGAGGTGTTTGCATTCCGTTTTTACCCATTTTTTCCTGATAAATTTTTTATTTAATAAGTATTTTTTTAATGAAATATTTGACACCAGATGAAATTATAGAGCTGATGAATCATCGATGATGATTTGATTCTGATTAAATCACTGTCAGATGAAGATGATTAGGAAAGCGGTAATGAAATGTGAGATGGAATGATGATGATGAAGATCAGGATGTAACTTTTGACTTTTCTGCTCCAAATCAATGGGAAAACATACAGATAAGTTCAATCCATTTTCATTTGATTTTCAGGAGGAAATACTATGACAGAATAGAGGAACCGAAGAAGAACATTCTGGACTATTTTGCGTTTAGACTCAGTATTGCAAAGTAACACTCATCCACGGACTTACTGAAGAAGCCATCTCCCCCTCCTTCGCTAACCGAAGATGAAAAATGATGAACCCCGCTCCAAAACGCAGAGTTACGACTTGCATTCCACATCAAGCAGCTCGTAACAAAGAAGCTAGGCACATGCCTGGAAATGGCTGAGGGATAGGAACTCATCCAAGTAGGTGCAGGAATGAGAACTGCTCGGCCTTAAAAAATGTACAATGTACAGACTGCAAGGTTTTTTTCTATGCTTTACAACTAGTAGAAATTGTTTCAAGGCATTTCACGAAAATAAAGCAAATAAAAAATAATATGTTATTGTAATAATAACTACTAATATGTACCTACAACGCCAATAAAACTTAATTTTCGTAGTTGAATTTATGGAATTGTATGTATTGTGTGATTAAAGATACTAAGATTAAATTAATTACTTCAATCTTGCTTAATACTTAAAAAAAGTTCTGATTGTAGTGCCTTGTTCTTGATGTATCACATATGATACATCCCCCCCTAGCTTTCATTAACTAAAAAAAAAAAAAAATTATTGCACTTTTCTACATCAAAGTGATCGAAACAACTATTTTAAATACCTCTTACAAAATATCAAGCTTTTATTTTTGTCTCGGGTCTGAGGAGGTTAAGGTTGTTTAAGTGCCGCTAAGCCTTTTTTTGATGGCGCCCATCGATTGTTTACATTTGAAACAGCAGACTAGTGGATTTGTTGGCAATCTAGACAAACTCAGCTTCGCAACAACAAAGATAACGCCTTTATATATTATTGCAAATTAAATCATGCTTAATCCTTTCTGGAATTTTTTCGAGGAAATAAGTGTTTAAGATTTACTTCGTAATTTTTAATATAGATACTTTGAGTTTTTATGTATTTTTGCCTTGTCGCGAAGTGAGAACTGAATTAATTGAATGAGAAATACTCAATCGTCTGTGAAAAAAACTGTTTCTTTTTTTTTGTTTTGTTCTTCGTATTTGAATAGAACATTTTGCTTGTGGCAACGCTTAGATTAATTCTATTCTTTAAATGATATAAATTTTGTGCATTATGAGTTATAATATGAACAAAATATAATACTGTTAAGTGAATCTAGCGCCAGAGTGTCGTTATGGTAAACAAATACTAGAGTGAATTTTAAAGAATGCATTTATTCTTATTGGTTTATGCGCTGTCGGCGAAGTAGATTTAATTCAATCCAATAAGTTTAAATGAAGTGCAAGAAAAAATGCATATAATTTAATATTCCGTACAAGGAAGTCATGTGGTGTACACATCAGATTTTTATCTTTAAAAAAAAACGCCCAAATGGTGAATTTGCCAAGAAGGGCTGTTAATTTCGGTTTGGCATTTTGCATTGTTTCACTATAAAACGGTGTTTCACTTTTCAAATTGTTGTCACCAAATATTCGAGCCCTGCATTATAGTTAAAGAAATTTAAATAATGAAGAATCTGCATGAATGTATGAATGGTTCTCGCACAGTAAAAAAAGAAACGGCACCTACAGATCACAAATTTTGAATAACGTAGTCCACCACTTGAATGTGGACATCTATAAGCCCAAATTTGGAATTTGAAATTTGTCTTATTATCTGCTTCCCATTTTGTAAAACTATAACGATTTTTTATTAACAAACTCGACGATTTCAAAGCGAACAATGACAACATTGTACGGGGAAAAAAAAAAAAAGAAAAAAAGTGGGGAAAAAACATTTTTATGTCTAGCGCGCGAGACTGTGTTTCGGAAATTCTAAAGATATGCTATTTTAATTTTTTTATATTGCTATTGAACTGAATTTTATGGTTTAACGGCGAAGAACAGTATACGTTAAAAAAACGTTAAAACGTTTTTTGAAACGCCCCTTTGAACGTAATATAAAATCTGAAAACTTTCAAATTTTTTTTAATTATTATTTGGGGGGGGCAGCGTATATCTTTGACGTGCAACGTTTAGTTATTTTATTGCCCCATCATCAGTCGCTTGCCATATCCTGCGTAAAACACACCATCGAACACTGAACGAAGTGTCGAAGTTGTGCGTGAAGCAGCTGTTTTTTGGTGGCTGCATACGGGTATAGAAAATATTCGCTTTTTCTATGTAAGTTAATCATTAGTTTTAATAGATATTAATGATTTTTTAATTATCCTAATCACGTGAAGCCAAAAAGAATGAAAATAAGCGAAAAAAAATTAAAAACTTAGCAACCATTATAATTTTAACGATGAATAGGAAGGAAATATTTTTTCATTAATTTTAAGAACTGATTTGTGGTTCACATTTTCTATTGAGAAACAAAAAATGCAGCATGGATGATATTTTACAATAGTTCATAAAAATTATTTTACTGAATATTCTTCGATCAGCGATCTAAGAAAATGAAAAGTGAAAAACCTGAAAAGTATATTCATTGCCCAACAATCATATTTACCAAGTTTGCAAATAAAATGAAGGCTGCTACTGTTGTATCACTTACAACTGCACATATACCTGCAATTCACAAAACTTCCTTGAGGACAACATAATTAAAAACGGTATACTTCTGTATCGGAATTTTATGTCAAATGCTAAAGGAGAATGTAATTATGTCAGCTAACTTCAGTAAGGAATCAACAGATATCTGCAGTGTAGCTGAAGTAAATATTTTTATAAGGA